TCTTTCATTTATGTGCATGCTTGCTAAAAGCAACGATGGCTCGAGATTGTAATCCTGTAATAGCTTCCTTCTCGCCTGTTGCTTTGTATTTTGAAATTATCGAAATAATTGGCAAGTCATCACCAGACGGAGTCGGCCCTCATGGCTGCTGGTGGAGCGAGGTTTAAGTTCGTTCCGTGCAGGGTTGGCCGGTCAGCACGAGGCATGCAGGATGCACGGCGGTGGGGCCCACGCCCCCCTTGGCACGCACGGCACGCTGTTTTGTGTGCGCAGTAATGCTCACCTCAGCCGCCCCCCTGGCTGCCGCACAGTGGCTCAAGGCGGAAGATTCACCCAAGGGCGCTGGGGGGGGCGGTGCCCCCCTCAAGGTTGAAGACAGCAACATGTTTGTGCCTCTTGGCACCGACCCACGGGAGGTGCTGGAGACACGCAACAAGGTACGCCATCTCTGTCACGTACACACGGACGTGTGCCTGTGTGCATATGCCAGTGTACCTGCGTGCATATACGCAGGTGATGCATTTACTAGTCATTTTGGTAAGTGTAACCCATAGCCGAGTGACATCACCGCTAAGTGGTCAATGGTGGTTGTTGTATGCTTGTTTATGTGAATTTGTGTTTTGTGTGCGAGTGTGTACGACAGTCGGTGAATATTCCAGCAGTCCTGCACGCATGTGCACTCCGTGACATCTTTGTTTGCAAAGCCAGTTTGGGTGAAGCGTTGTGTCCCTTTGTTTTTCCCACACCCAACGTTGAACATCTCCCACTTCCCACACTGGGCATCCCCCCCACCCCACGCCGGTGCACGTGTATACAGATCCGTGAGCACTACCGGCACGACGTGAAGACAGCGGGGCCACAGTCCCAGCTCCTGTGTGGTGCCGTCATCGAGCGACCCCAGGGCCAGGTCAGGCGCTGGCTTGCGGTTTCTTGAATGCGTGATGCCACGTTCACACTGCTCGCGTGTGATCACGATGGGGGGGGGGGGGGGGGGTTGTTGCTGATGGTGCTTTGTTGCGTGCAGGAGGTGCTGGCGGCATCGAAGGCCATCATCGTTAAAGAGTTTCAAACTGACGTGAAGCTGACGGCGCCGCCAAACCCCTTCCGCAAGTCGTGCGAGCGCGAGATCGAGGAGTACCGGCGGGAGGTGGAAAGCAAGCAGCAACCTGGCGGCGCAGGTGGGAAACCCATTATCTCCATTGCTATGGCCACTCGGTTATTTAGGCACACGGATGACAAAAGCACGTAGAGGTGCATGCTGAGAATGACACTGAGACTCGTTGCAATGCCTCGATCAGAAAAAAAACACGTTAGACACATGGTAATCGCCGCTAAAAAAGAGTGTGTTGGGCAGGATGCACCGTGAGCAAGAATGGTAGCAAAAATGAATGACGGAGTGATAGCTAAATGAGGGAAACGCAGCTCTAAAGGACGTACTTCACAGATGGAGTGATCAAATCAGTTCCCGTGTCGGAGCTGGATGGATTTTTACGTCGTGGGATTGTGAGGGGGGTGGCTTGGGGAGATCCTTATCCAGCAGTGGATTATAGCCGATGATGAATAAATAAAACCTTGCATATCTGGCGTTCTAACTGTGTGACAGTCACGTGTAAAAGCATTCGTTAAATAAATAGCCGATGATGGCAGAACTAATGCATCACTTGTTTGCCCCGTGTGACGTGTCGCCTGGCAGACTTGAACGAGAGGCACGAGGAGCAAGGGGAGGAGAAGGTCCCGGTGCCGCCGGCCACGCCTCCAAAGCAGGCCGACGGTACCACATGCACGCCCACACGCGGCCTCACGCCTTGCTACCGCGCACACCTTTGTAGTGCACACCCTCAATCCAACAAATACCCAACGCATACCGCGACATGCATCCAACATGCGTGTACACGGCTTGCCTGTGACATGCAAAATTCTCGCTCGTCACTGACCATTCTCAAAAGTGCACAATCTAATTGCAGACAACGCATTTGATAGGGACGGTTGTGATGTGTTGTGCCAGTGATGTGTGAAGCTCTTTGTTTGATGTGTTGATTCATCACAAGGGCCCCCAGATTTTGTCATTGCCACTGATGGAAAAAAAATGTCGATTGTGAATTTCCCAAAAATCTGGGGCCCCACACATACTCCTGAGTCGTCATTATTGTTGTTTGAACATCGCTGGTTCAAGATGTTGTATGTTATTCAACACCTCAGGATCGGTGTGCACCTTACTAAAGCATGTGTGTATACTTGTGACGGTGGTGGCATGCTTGTGATGGCGGTGATGTGAGCGTACTCAAACTGACCTCTGATGTGCCCCCCCATGCTTGTCTTGTCTTCCCTCCAACCGCCATCCTTTTGCTTGCCTTGCTACTCGCACTCAGGAGCACAGCCCAGTAGGGAGTTCTTGTTGGAGTAGTAAGTATGGCGCGTGCCACTTGTTACTCTCAAAAGATGTGTCTCGTTCAGTGGCTAATCTATGGCCCGAGGAGGGCAAAGCAACCCTCCCCTCTCCTTTTACCTGGGGCCGCCCACGGTGAAGCGAGATGTGACAATGGCACCGTCGCCGAATAGAATCCACGTGTGTGTCTGTCCCCCCCCCCCCCCGTGCGTGGATTGGCCACGGGACCTCCCTCAGTGCCCTGTCACGTGATTTGCCAGCATTTGCGGCACACGCTACAGGGGGGTTCGTGCCCCCCCATCTTACTGAGCTGTAAAATCAATACAAATCTTGGGCGATGGTGGCACTTAAATGAAGGCCGAGCAGAAATTTGACTTGAAATTTACATTCCTGTGTGATCTTGGGATATCCAAACCAGGTTTCCTTGAAACCATTTTACATTTCCCAACAAAATCCGGCAAGAGGTGTGATCAAACTGTTTTGAGAACAAAATGCAAAGGTGCATTTACCTGGGATCTCCGGGTATAAATATATAGTGATAACAAGACTGTGATTGAATCGTAAAATGCGCGTTGACAGTAATATCACGTTCTCAAAACTCTCCCGATTGCCCCTCGTGCCAGAGGCTCGAGGCATTCGAACAGAGATGGTAATTGCGTGCGCTGCCCATGCAGGTCAAGACAAACCTTCCGAGGCGTGGGAGCCCAACGCTGCCCAGGCCCCTGGAGACTCCCAACCCCAGCCCCAGCAACAGCTCCAGCCCCAGCTCCATCCCAAGCCTCACACCCTGCCAAAGCCACAGCCAGCTCACAGCAACACCCAGGCGCACTCCCTCACTCTGCCCTCGGCGGCCACGCCGCCTGCTGCCCAGCACGATGAGGCCACCGACGAGGAGGCGCTGTCGAAACGCTTGAGCAGCGTTTCGGTCGAGGGGGGTGGTGCCTCCAGCCCTGGCGAGGAGGCCTCCCCTGAGGCCTCCCCGGCCAAGTCGCCCTCCAAGAAGAAGAAGAAGTTCCGCACGCCCTCCTTTCTTGCCAAGATGAACAAGAAGAAGGAGAAGGCCGAGGCCTGAGGTGTGAGTGTGTCGGCCTGTGAGGGAGGCGATGTTCACGGGGCTCGTGCCCTACGGGGCTCGTGCCCCACGGCCAGGCGCCGCCTCCCAGGGTGGAAGCATCATCGCATCGCTCTGCGCTTCTTTTAAAACTGCAGTTCGCGACAACGCTCACGTTAACTCATGTTTTTGTACTGTACCTAGAGAAACTCATTGTTATGCTTACGTTTTACTTAATCCTGATAACTGGCAATTTTAAGCTGTGACAAAAACATTAGGTATTTATAGCGAAAGGCAGTGTTAGAGCCTTGAGTAGTGTGTAGTGACGTGTAGCTGTGCGTCTGTGTAGTGTGATTGCGCTTTCGTGGTTTTAACTCTGCTGCATAGCAGCGCTCGGTCTGGTGGGGCAGCTCCAGAGCCACAAGACCCCTCATCCGCATGGAATGGCAACGGTGAGAGGGATCCGGTGCTGTCCCCCTGTGCCAGCCTTCTCGGCTGGTGCGGTAACGAGTGAGTGGCCCGGGCATGGAGGCGCCCCGAGCAGGCCAAATTAAACAACTCAATTCTGCAGCCCCTGTCGTAGTAGCCTAAAAGAAGCCATCTCATGTCAAGTTATTTTTGATTTTTATTCTCTTTAATTTTAAATTTGTATTACTATCTAGGATAGATGAATTTTTAATAATATTAAAAAATGCTGCTTATTTAGCAACCCGTAACATTACTGCAAAATCCGTTGTACGACTTTTAACATCGAGACTGGCCATTCACAGCTAAACCTCAGCCGGGGTGTGGATTTAATGGCCAGGAGAGTGTTCACGTTGACCACTAGGATTTCTGTGCAGTGTAGAGCAGCGAGGAGGGCAGCAATGGCTGCTGTTGCAGCGGGGAGCGTAGGGTGGAGTTCGTTGCGTTCTGAGCCGAAAAAAAGCATTTGCCCTCTCATTGTTGGATTTGCCACTCAGTACAGCACAGCTGTGCTTGCACTTGTGTAGTAACAGAGTTGTTGATAGACAGGCTTGTGTCACCAGTCTGTACAGCCCTGTCATGTGCACAGGTTATACCAGCGCTGCTTAGCCTGCAGTGCAAAATACTGCTTCTCTGAAACATTATGCAGCAGTTCTAACCTCATCCCTAATATCAACCCTATCCTGTTTGTGTGTATGGGTACACCACAGTCATTAGCATACACAAGTTGTGATTGCCTGACACTATATTCTGAAGGGCGTTTTTTCACGAGGACATCGTGTGTGTACAGCTGCACTTGACCCTGTAGGCGTCTCACGACCCGGTGGCAGAGAAACCGTGGCACATGCTGGGCGCTGTGAAGTCGTGCTGCCGAGGAATTGCTCCTGAAGGGGCAATCTTCTCCGTCCATGGGAACAGCAATCCCATTGGACCGGATCCCACAGTTCCAGGGATTCTTAGGGTTACAGTCCCACAATGGTCATGTGACTCAAGGACCACTGCTATGCCTGGTAGAAGGCCCAAGTACCTGGATTCTTCCTGCCTTTGGCCACATGCAGCTCTCGGTATACTCAAATATGCATTTCGTTGAGACTGGAATGGTTTTTAAACCTGGTTTTAATTAAGAGTGGAATAAACAAGTGTGTTTTAGAATATCCAAGTTGTCAGCACAGGCTGTCTCTTCGCTCAGTCTAGGACTGACCAGTACATTCATCTCCATAGCACTAATGCCATTTTTTCATTACGTAGCTCATTGATAGTACATATAAAAAAGCAAGTATTAACTTGTAACAGCTTATACTTGTATGAAATAAACAAAATAAAATGTACTGCATGTATGGTAATCGCTACTGAGCTCGGTGCCAGTCGTGCTCACTTATGGAAGAGTATTTACTGAATCTGCTGCTCTGACGGGATGCCATCTCAGAGGCGCCACGGTATCGTTACATAAAAAAAGTTACTGCACTTATAATTCAACTGTAGCAAAGGCACGACACAACACTGCCGTGGGCTAGGACTACCAGCTGCAGCCCCTCCGTCCTGCTCCATTTACTACTTGGATTCTGTTTTTTTTAAAGGCTTCAGATCATGTTGTGGTACAGCTGTGTCACCACAGGAGTGTGTGCGTGTGTTGTGCAAGTCTGTGGCAGATGTGGGTGGTAGCGTCTTCAGTTGGATTTCTTGGCAGAAGAGTGCAGGCCACGCAGCAGCAGCACAGGGAGGAGAAAGAGGAACGCTCCAGTGGTGAAGCACACACGTGCGCCCGTGCCCCAGAAAGCTGCAAACACGTGCACAGCCACACACGAGAAGCTGGAACTGGAACACAGCATCACGGGCACCACGCACCGCCCCATGACACAGATCACTGTGTTGTCGCTGCTGCACGCCATCTCTGACTGTCGGTAGCCATGTGTGGAATGCGGAGCGCTTTGGACAGCTAGGTGTGATCGTGTGCAAGTCTCACCCGAGGCAGCAAGTACAGGGCCCAGGGCTCTGGCGAGGGAGCCCAGGCTGCGCAGAATGCCCATGAGCACCCCCTTCTGGCTGGGAGAGCCTGCACACGCACAGCAGCCAAACGCAAAACCACTCGTCCCTGTGTGTCACGTGGCAGAGCAGGCGTGGCATGTCCCGTCTGTGCGTGTGTTCGGCTCACCGTAGGAAGCAACAGCAGTGGTGAGGCAGGGCACAACAGTGGCCGAGGCTGGAAGACGGCACACACGGGGAGATGATACACACCACACAGTGAGACTTGGGAGACATGCATGAGAGTTCCAACCCGGGGTGAGAACAGTTGTTTGTAGGTGCACTTGGGTGTGGGGTCCTGGAAGTGGTGGTGCAATTCACCATGGCGATTTGGTGAATTCTAGATTTATTTTTTTACATAAAGGTGATGGGAGTAGCTGCAGGCCATGTGAACCCATTATACCACACACACATCTATAAACATGGATTCTTGCACGATTCCATGAATGCATCGTGAGCTTAAGCCAGGAGTTTGCAACCTGCGGCTCCGGAACTGAATGTGGCTCTTTACAGACTGCTTCAGAACATAATGTATGTGTGTACGTATGTACATATTCACATGCATTGCGGCTCTTCAAATATTGAGTTTTGTACTGAATTTGAAAAAAATTGCTGCTCTTATTTTGGTTGCTGACCCCTGGCTTAAGTGATATGGATTATCAGGTTCCTCGCTTCTGATAATGGTGCAATTGTAATGCTGAGTATATCATTGTCAGGGTGGGACACGGACTGGCGTACACAGCTGTGCGGTCTCACCAAATGCATAGAGCAGCAGCCCGACGTAGAGCACGGGCAGCGTGGGGGCCCAGCCAATCAAGATGAATGCCGGGATGAGCAGCAGCAGCGCCTGAAGCAGATGGGGAGGAGCGTTAAAAAAAAGCAGTTGGCGAGTGACGCGCCATGGGAACATGTGTGCGGTCGCATAAACACTCACCCTCTGCACTACGGCCATCTCTCTCCCTGGGGGAAGTCTTCGCACGTATCCTCCCTGGATGATCACCATGGCAACTCCAACCGCAAACAGCATCTTGCCCTGCTGCATGCTGGGAGAAAACAACATCCCACCGGCTGCTCTGGCCTCCTGCTGGGCAGTGATGGATGTGCGTGCGTTTGGTCAGTCCATTTTAAGTAGGCACTAGGCCGTTGAGACTACAATACAATCGCAACATTGGAGAATAAATGTGAAGTTGTCATTGTAAGGAAATGAAGCCGACTGCAGGAAATTAACACGAAGGTAATAAACGGTACACTGCGATAGAAACAGGCGTGTGGGTGAGTGCGGGAGGTCGTACGGCCGTGGGTGAGTGTCGGTACCGTGTGAAGTTGAAGCGTGTGTGCGTCAGGAAGCCGAGATTATACTCGAGCCCTGAGTACAGGAAGATATACAGGAAGTAGATGATCCCAAGCCTCCGCAGCGACACCACATCTGGAAAGAATCGGCACCACGTTAGTTCATTACGAGCAATTTAAATGATGAATGCTGGCAAAAATCCGCATGGAACGTTCGGCGAAATTTAGAACTGCCATATGATCTGCCATGTGATCTGTGAGTCCAATAAGAGGCAGAGAAAGGGCTTTGGAAGGGGGGGGCGGGCATTGTGCCAACGGAGGCCGCGTCTTACCTTTGTGGGGGGCTTCTCTGCCGGTCTCCTGCACGGCCGAGAAGCGGAAGAGAGCGACGGGGTTGAAGAGATGAGAGCTGCCCTTGATCCCCGACAGCACAGATGGGACCTAGGGGTCACGGGCAGGAGCGGGCTAAGAACGTCTCGGCATACGCACACGATGTTCTCAAGATATTGTTTATTCGATATATCTTCATATAACCCAGGTTGCCTTGGCAAAATTATTATTCCACTTGGTTGCCCAGAAAAGCCTTGGTCTTGACTTATTTTTTAGACGGTCATGTTTTTGCAGTAGGGGCAATGATTTCTTTGATTTCCAATTCATTCATTTTAGATTTATGATTGTTTATTGGGAGCATGCCACCTGCACAGTGGCCAATTTTGAAGAGAGGCAATGTGCTTTAACGGGTTAATTTTATCTGGTTAAATAAAGAAGACTGACGGCATGAGATGCTCGGTGAGGGAAGCGAGTTTGGATGGATGAGAGTGAGAGTAGCGAAAGCCTGTGACTGCCGACTGCTTCATAAGCCACTTTGTTGAGCTATCATTTGTGGCCAGGTTGCTTCTTTGCCTGGTAGGATGGGGATGGTTTAGTTTTATTTGTGTGTTTTTGGGCGATTTTTTTTGCCTTTTCCTGTACCCTGCACGACTATCGTATTTTTCTATTGTAACGTACTTACCCGCCCCTACTGGACGTGAAAAAAAAGCTTTATAGCTCATCGAATTCCTCCAGTATAAATACATATTCTGATTCATCACCCGACCACCAACCGATTCCTGCCCATATCACTCGCGGGAGCCGCCTTGCAGGGATCAAACAAGTACTCCCCCTACTGATTCTATCGCCATTATTGAACTCAAGCATATATTATTTTACGACCTGTTTTTTACATTTTCATTGTATTCCTTTTTTATGTAAATGTGTACCGTTTTGTTTGCTACATTTGCCTAAATGTAACGCTGCCTCACACCATCGCCATTCCTCACAGTCCTCTGATGCCATAATTGATGTAACTCCTTCAAGTGAACTTATATCCTTTTAGGCACATTCCATCACCAGTCTTGTCCATCAGCAATCATCTTTTCTAGAGGTGTTTCCTGCCTAAACCCAATCACTTCCTTAACAGTCAACAAGATATGTTTCAAATGCATCTTGTTCCACGTGTTCCTTTTGCTGTCGCTCATCATTTTTTATCAATATACCTTCAATATTTGCTTTTGACATACTATTCGGCTAATTTATTTTCTTTCTACGTGACTTTACCGAAAGAACTAAAGAGAATTCCTGCAGTCACGAAAGCTTCAAATCAAGTTTGAACCACCTCTACGGGGAGGATGTAAGTTGTTTTCTCTCTGTGTCTCTGTTTGTCAAATTTCACACTTAACTTCAAATTTAGCAATCTTTGGAGATCGTAATCAACCAGGCTATGCGTTAACTGTGTGTTAGCTGACTCTCTGTGTAGCATTGCATTACATTTCCCAAAAAAAATTTGTTTTCTCAAACTATTTCTCTAAAATGTACCAGGCTCTCATAGAGCCATTCGATCTTCTTTCCCTCGGTCGCTTCGGGGTGGATTAATTGACATGCTAATTTCTCTGCTCCAGCAGCTGCCCCAGCAGACCCACCTCTCTCTCTGCCTCCCCCCCCCTCTCTATTTAAGGCCTCGACACAGAGGCATTGGGTCTCTGTGTGTCTATGTTGTGTGTCTCTCTGTGTGTCTGTCTTGTCTCTCTCTGCTTGTGTGTCTCCCTCTCAAATTTAGTTATACCTGATAACAGTTGCTTGTGTTGCAATCGAAACGTCGTACTCTATTATTTAATTTATTTTCTTTATACGTGACTTTACCGAAAGAACCAAATAGTAATTCCTGCAGTCACTAAAACTTCAAATCAAGTTTTTATTCAGCTGCGTCTTGCAGTTATGTCCCTCCGGCAATATTCCTTCAGCAAATTTGTTCTGCATTAATTGTTTTTGCTATTATTTATCTTCAGGACGAAGTCTTGCAGCCAAGTCATGACAGCCATTTAATATATTTTATTTGAGGGTTTTCAATCTATTCTTTAATATCAATAAATTATCCTAACTCACGAACTACATTTTTGATAACTGTTTTGTTTTTTGCCTGTAATTATCAGTCTCCTCTCTGGCTTAACCTGACATGTGACTTACATCTCACCAGCCTGTGATCACTTCCTGTGTTTACATTTCTGAGGACAGAGACATATCTGACAAACTGGGGGTTGTCTGTGAGAAGCCAATTTCATGTCTAATTTCACCATTTAGGACTCTACATGTCCATTTTTTGGCTACTTATGTTTGAGAGGTCCTCATTTGCATATCAGTTACATAAGTGGTAAATAATTGAGTGTAAGAATGAATTTTAACCAATGCATCGATGCATGGTTACATGCCTAATGCCTTCACAGTTTGCTAATTTGTCTTTTTTAGGACTTGGGAGCTGGGTGCGACCATTCTGGGCATATGACTGCCTAGTCCTATCCATTCTTGAGACCATGCAATGCTTCCCTCCTGCAGCATTGCCACTGGTGGACACATTGTGACTGGGAAGGATCTCCTTTCTCCATCGTCCCTTCCTCTCTCCAAACCTCCCATCGTCCCTGCTCCCTACCACTTACCCTCCGAGCGGGCGGCAGGGTTTCGGGCAGGAGCAGCGCCAAGAAGACAATGTCACTGGCGGCGAAGGCGGCAGCGAGCAGCGCCGGCATAAAGAAAAGGGCACCGTGACTGCCTGTGCCTGCCAACGCAGCCCCCAGCGGCGGCCCGAACATGAAGCCAATAGAGAAGGCAGCGCCCACGAAAGCCTGTGCACACGTAAACACACGCACATGGGTACCAAGAGGGGCTCCTGCACTGTCCTCCAATGGCCTGCCCTGTCCGGCTGCACTTTGTTACCATTCCCTTGCTGCGCTTGTGCAGGGGCAGGTCAGCAATGATAGCCGTGCTCAAGCTGATGTTGGCCTTGCTGGCACCGCCCAGGGCACGCGACACCAGGAAGAGGCCGAAGCTGTGAGACACGGCCCAGATGCCGTAAGATGTCAGGATTCCCACCTGTACGTATACACACACAACAGCCGCCAATCGTCACTCAGTGACGGTGATGTTGACAGTGCTTGTGCCAGGTTAGATACACTGAGATAATGTGAAGTTTTGAAGTCGTAGATGCACACACCCACACGTGTACGCACGGGCATACTTGAACACTCCACTGCCTATGGTTACAGTAAAAAATTAACCAGACTATATCCAATCGCATGGCATCTCTGTGCATAGTAGCACAAGTTACATTTCATAATAATAGCCGTTTTAATCAGGAAATTCTCAATGAAACTCAACTCCTTTTTAGGAAGATGATGCTATTTTGGTTTGTTTGGCCAATCGACTCCTGCTGGGCAAGGTTTATCAGTAAATGGCAAAGGTCAAAGTGTTAACTCAACAAAGCAGACTCCCGGCTAAGTCATGCCAACCTATCTTCAAAATCTTTTGGCAAAGACTTCTAAATGTTTACTCATCGCGCTGAGCAACATTAATCGTGTTTGAGACAGCACCATGGAGAGCAGCATCATGGAACGCCGCCCATAGCGGTCGGAGGCTGCTCCAAACAGGGGGCTCGACACGAACTGCAGCAGTGAGAAGAGGGACCCAATTAGCCCTGGCGACACAAACGAGGACAGTCAGGTGGTGCTAGTGTGGTCATGCCAAATACAGAGGGCAAGTGTGGAATCGTAGAGATGGCTTCCGGCCGTGAACGTGGGTGTCTGCGCACTCACCGCCGAACAGCACGCTGTTGTGGCGTTCGTGCTCAGGAATCCCAACAGCATCGGCAAACCAGTCAACTCCTTCCTGCAGTATCTGGTGCAACCCTCCCTGGCGCGACACAACCCACAGGCAGAGTGAGGGCACGGGCTGGGCGAGGGTACAGTATTGCAAGTGCCAAAAGGTGCAGAAGGGGCAGGGCATGCGCACCTGTCGGTTGAAAGGGTTAAAGGTGTGGTGGGCGCGGTTACCTGCTCTACACTTCCGTAGTGGTCGAGCAGGGAGGGCAGCAGGGGCAGGATGAGCGTGAAGCCCAGAAGGTCGATAATGAGGGCCACAAATACTACGGTGATAACTCGGTCAGCCCAGCGATCCTCCACGTTCCCCTTCATCCTGACCAGCGGGTACACGCACAGACAGCAACGAGGACGGCTCTCTCACCCTCCTCGCCCGCCAATGTCAATAAATATCACTGGCGCATGGGACCAGTGTCCCCTTGTCAACCAGCTCAAGTCCCCTCGAATGTTACAATCACTGACGCTCGCTAATGCGAGTGCGGGCTCGCTTCCCCGAGCCGGCACCAAGGGCTCTCTCGGAGTCGAGGCGCGGCAGAGCAAACACATTGAGACTTGACGAGTCACGCCCGTGCCTGGACCAAGGGCGGCCTCTGTGCAAACACAGATTTCCTGGTTGCTTCACCCCGTTCTAAACTAAAAAAAAAAAAAATTTTCTTTGACCAGGTAAGGTCCACTGAGCTGTGTAGCTCTTTTTCAGAAGCGACCTGGCCACAAATCATAGCTCAACGAAGTGGCTTATCATGTGTAACTTTATAGCAGCCAGATACTCGAAACGCGTGTTGATTCTAAACGTGTGATATTGATTATAAGCGTAGAGGAAAAAAAACGGAGGACGCGGAGAAAAAAAATCCACACGACCACAGAGAGACATGCAAACTCCAAATATACAACAGGCGTCAGGGGCGGGATCGAACCCACAACCTCCTGTATACCAGGCGAAGTAGTTAACATCTTCTAGCCACCGTGGGCTTAATTAAACTTTGCTCTGCGGGAAATTTGTTGTTCTGTCGACTCCTGCCTCGCACAGCGGTCAAGAGTGGAGACTGAACGCTCGGCCACATGGACCCCACACCGGTGACGGCGCAGCAGAGTGGACATGGGGAGGCAGAGTGGACCTGGAGCAGCAGAGTGGACATGGGGAGGCAGAGTGGACATGGGGAGGCAGAGTGGACATGGGGCAGCAGAGTGGACATGGGGAGGCAGAGTGGACATGGGGCAGCAGAGTGGACATGGGGAGGCAGAGTGGACATGGGGCAGCAGAGTGGACATGGGGAGGCAGAGTGGACATGGGGCAGCAGAGTGGACATGGGGAGGCAGAGTGGACATGGGGAGGCAGAGTGGACATGGGGCAGCAGAGTGGACATGGGGAGGCAGAGTGGACATGGGGCAGCAGAGTGGACATGGGGAGGCAGAGTGGACATGGGGAGGCAGAGTGGACATGGGGAGGCAGAGTGGACATGGGGAGGCAGAGTGGACATGGGGCAGCAGAGTGGACATGGGGAGGCAGAGTGGACCTGGGGCAGCAGAGTGGACATGGGGAGGCAGAGTGGACCTGGGGCAGCAGAGTGGACCTGGGGAGGCAGAGTGGACCTGGGGAGGCAGAGTGGACATGGGGCAGCAGAGTGGACATGGGGCAGCAGAGTGGACATGGGGCAGCAGAGTGGACATGGGGCAGCAGAGTGGACCTGGGAAAGCTCAAGCCCCTCACCTCAACACAATCCATAATCCCATTCAAATTCCTCACCTCAACCCTCGCCTCAATACAAGCCCTTACCCCAAACCACCCTCGCCTTAACTCGCTCACCTCAACCAAACCCCCACTCAGCCCGATCACCTCACCTCAAGCCTCGTGGCGACTACAAGTCTCGGTCCGGGCAGTTGTCGGCGGCGGCGGGGAGGCCGGGATGGGAGTCTCTTATCCTCGCCTCTGTCGCGGGTCGGCGCGCGCTACCCCGACCCCGGCTCCTATCGCGACGCCGGGGTCGGCAGGGTCCGGGGGAGCGGGTGGTGGGGGTGGGGGTGGTGGGGGTGGTACTGCCTTGATGTGTGGCGATCGCGGCGGAGACGGATGTAGCGACAGTGGTGAGGAGCGACTGTGAAGTCCCAGCGACAAATAATCGACGCGGAAGTTCCCTGCTTGGGTGAAACTCTGGAACCGCGAGCGCGAACAAGCGACCCCCCCCCCCCCGGTGCCTTGGAGGGTCCCCAGGTTCCCCAGCCCCGCACAATCACCGAGGCAATTACAACTCGCAGCCAATCAGTGGCTCACAACAAAGCCGCCAATTACCTGGGCTTCTTGGCGTGACGCGACTGTGCGACTTGCCGACGGCTTCTCTCGAGCGCCGCCTCGCACTTACCCAGAGCCCCGTGCCGACCCCCCCCCCTCTCCACCCCTCCCCTCGCACCCCCTCCCCCCTCCCCGCACCCCCACGTGCCGATCGCCGCACCCCCTCCCCTCCCCTCCCCCTCCCCCCACATGTGGCACGACCCCGCTGCTGGCTGCGATATTCGGCCGGCGTTGTTGGGTATTGACGTCATCCCCCCCCTGACGCGTTTTAAAAAATCTGGTTGTATGACGTCATATCTCCGCGTTGTTTTTGGGCGACGTCACGGCTCGTGATTTATTTGCATGACATCACCTGTTCCGAGCCGTGACTGCGCACGAGTTGCGCTCTGGTCGTGGCGCCGACTCGTTCCCGTTAGTGGGTGGATCGCTCGCGGTGGGCAGACACCCCAGGGGTCCCGGTCGCTGTGGCTGCCGAGGCGAACGCTCGGGTACGAGGGACCCCGTCCACGGGCGCAGCGGCGGGCGGCGGTGGTGGGGGGAGAGTTGTGTCCCCGCGAGTCTCCCGTCCTGCCACGCCGCGAGCGGTGGTGCCGTGGTGAGCGCGCGTTCGTTTTTACCGCTCATGGCCAACATAAGTAGCGGATATCTCATTGACTCATCGTGGGAACATCCCCGAGCTCGATTTGGTCAACCAGGCGGCTGAGCGTGACGCTGGCCACAGCGCTCCACGGTGCGCCGTCCCGTCCTCTCCAACATCACGTGTCTATCACGTCTCTCTCTTATCTATCACGTATCTATCGCGTGTCTCTCTGGTCTATCACGTGTTTATCACGTGTTTCTCTTGACTATCACGTGTCTATCACGTGTCTCTCTTGTCTATCACGTGTCTCTTGTCTATCACGTGTCTCTTATCTATCACGTGTCTATCACGTGTCTCTATTGTCTCTCTTGTCTGTCACGTGTCTTTATTGTCTCTCTTGTCTATCACGTGTCTCTCTTGTCTATCACGTGTCTCTCTTGTCTATCACGTGTCCCTTATCTATCACGTGTCTATCACGTGTCTCGTCTATCACGTGTCTCTATTGTCTCTCTTGTCTATCACGTGTCTAGTCTATCACGTGTCTCTATTGTCTCTCTTGTCTATCACGTGTCTCTCTTGTCTATCACGTGTCTCTTATCTATCACGTGTCTATCACGTGTCTCGTCTATCACGTGTCTCTATTGTCTCTCTCTCTTGTCTATCACGTGTCTCTCTTGTCTATCACGTGTCTCTCTCTTGTCTATCACGTGTCTCTCTTGTCTATCACATGTCTATCACTTGTCTAACAGTCTGTCAAAGAAGATCACACGGGGGGTGGGAATCTTTGTCTTTGATAGTGGGGGTGATACACGGCACAGCACGCGGGGGTGCAGCGAGCATCCCCGATCCGAGGCCCGCGGGACTGAGGCGTCAGAAGCGTAGCTAGGATATTTTGCGCCCGGGGACGAACTATAAAATTGGCGCCCCCCCCCCCCCGTTTAATCACATTTTCCTATTACATCGAATAAGGAATAACAATTTAAATTTGAATGAAACATTGTATTTAAAGAAGCAAATTTATAGAAATTATATTACATGGCTCACTCAGTCACTGTCGTAGACTGGTTGACATAGTCTACAAAAGATTCATTTTTCTTGATTTCACTGTCGCAAACTGGTCAATCACGTAATCAAAATCTGTTTTTTTCCAATGTTTCTCTTTCAACGCTAAGAAGAGCAAGATCGCTGAGACGATCTTGTCCCATTGAAGCACGCAAATACGACAAAATAAGTTTCAATTTGCTGAACGACCGCTCACAGCTTGCAATTGAAACTGCTATTAATAAAATTTGCAGTGAAATTCGCAAATTCGGAAATATGTCGTCTCCATAAAACACAATAAAACTAAGAAGATCCAAAGGAGTTTCTGGTAGAACTTCATTCCGGTTACTGAGCAGCATTTTGCAATCTCCAATTTCTGTGAAAAGTTCGTGGCCATTGATGTCGGTGTCATAGAAATTTCCAAAATCTGTGCAATTTCGACGAATTGCATCGACATCTGTGTCGGATAGAAGAGTTTTGACGTCCAGCAGAAATCCATATTTTGTGTTCAGGTCTTTTAGTCGTAAAAACCGTGTTGACATCTCCTGTTGAAGTCGATCAAATACGCTCTTCATAACGCGCACAATTTCTTCTTCTGCTGAAAGTCCTGCATCTCTTGCCAGTTCTCCTGGCATCTTCTTCTGTCCACATCTATCCCCCAGGCTGTGCATCTTGTTTTGGCGTTTTCTACAGCAACTTGGCTCAACTCATCACGAAGCTTGACAAATTCATGCTCCAAAGTTTCAAGATCAGTTGCTGCTTCCTTGAAGTTCATAGTAGGATCCTGTTGTATCTATGCCCCGTTTTCCAAAAATTCCTGTAAGCGCATCTGAACACGATACATTTTTCCAAGAATGACATTCTAGAAATGTAATAAAACTATGAAGTTAAAATTTAATACGCATGCCTGTAACTGTTCTGCATCGCTTCTGGTTTCAGGCGTCATAGTTACGTCCTCCGTTAATTTGTCTAGCAGCCCTACTAGTTCATCCAGTCCTTCATAGATAGCTTTAACAGCTTCTGATCGTGCACTCCAGCATGTTTCAGACTCCCACTTTACTGTGATGGGCACAGCTTTTTTTAACTCTTCCCAACGAATTGTTGAACGAGAGAAAAACAAATATATACTTTCAACTGTTCCAAAAAATGTGACGAAATGTGGATCCTGTTTAGCTGAGTGTACTCCTGCTAAGTTTAAGCTGTGGTTGTCACAGTTGACAATGCTCTGTGATTTGTCACATATTCGTTGTTGAAGGCCGGATATATGCCCAGTCATCACAGCAGCATTGTCATAACATTGTGCCCGACAGTCGGCTAGAGGTATGTCAGATTTCAGTCTTCCGACGATGACTCTTTCTAGGCTTGCTGCATCTTTTGCATGTATATCGATATAACCTAAAAAAAAAGATATTTGATAGTTACTTTTTTAGTTTGAAAATCCACATCCACAAATCTTATGACCTGAGAAAGCTGTTCCCGATGTCCTAGATCAGGAGTTGAGTCAAGTAAGATACCGTAGTACTTGTTTTTCCTGATATCACTCAACAATTGGTTCTTTACAGTCGACGCAAGTATGTGGATAAATTCATTCTGGATTTCCGGTGACAAATAAGAAACTGATCCCGGATTTTCTCCTGCGTGCTGTACGTGTTTTGCTAACAATGGGTCATACTGCGCAACGAGTTTGATCAGCGCGATAATTTTTCCAACATTTTTATCCTCATCCGCATTCAAATTTTCCTCATGGCCACGTAGTGCCAAATTTTGTGAAACCAGAAACTTAATACAGGTGAGTATTCTTTGCAATATATCTCGCCAACGTTGTTTTTCCAAATGAATCTGAGCTTGAACCACTGCATCAATTCCAGTACCATCAATTATCTATCCTTCGTTCGGATTCCTTCCATGCAGTAAAAGCTGTGCGGTGGCTAGGATTGTTTTCATGAGAATTTAGTTTTTCTGGCTTTCTCCACTTGTTAAAACCGTTAACTCAAACGAAGCTCGTGAGTTTGAACTCGATGATGTAAATAATAGACAACAAAAACAGTAAGCAGCTTTATTGATTGGTGAATATAATAGCCACGAACGATTCACTTCCTCTCCGTTCGCTAGTCGGCGTTTAAACCATGCTGTAATTGAACGTGCGTGGGCTGCTCTGGCTGCTGCAGCCGCCTGGAGCGTGGTGTCACTAATAAGAACTTAAAATAGGCCGTCGTAGTTTCTGCCACCAAAAAACAGGCCAGTGACTAAGGCTGAAAGACTGCGCCTGTCTGTTGTTTGGGACGTTCTTCCATGTAAGTTCTTAATAGGCGCGCGTACCAAAATGTAATTACATGACATGTAGGCTGTGTGTGGCGGGATATATAAACTTTTAGGTTGAGGTGTAGATTTGTGCAGTAGTTTCAGGCTGCCGCGCCCGCCGCAATAAGTTATAATGTAACGTTGTAAGCCTCATTTTGGCGCCCCTTTACCTTGGCGCCCGGGGACATATGTACCCCCCTGCCCCCCCTAGCTACGCCTCTGTGAGGCGTTCCCCGGGGCCCCCCTCCTTGCTCATGGAGGTCGGCTGCGCCTCCTCCTCCCGAGGGCTCCACGCCGGATTCCCGCGGGGCGAGGTGCCGCGCCCGGAGCTGGGCGCCCTCGCCCTGGCCGCGCTGCTGGGAGGAGCCCTGGGATTCGGGGCTGCGCTGCTCGGGCTCCGCCTGCGGCCCCGCGCCCCCGAGGTCCGGGCAGGAGAGGGGGCCCGGAGTCAGGGCCCGCGTCCCAGGGATGAGAGGCCGCAATTAACCCCGCACGTGACCCACACCCAGGTACGAGCGGTCTCCACAAACCTCTCCCAGGTGATTTGTCTCCAGCCGACTCGGGTGCTTGTCTGGCGTTTGTATGTTCTCCCCCTGGTCCATACCATGTAATTTGTATTATTCACAGCTGTTCGGCTTCACATTGAAGTTAGTTTAAAAAGTCCAGGTGATGTAATTACAATAACAAGCTTCATTCTTCCCAGTTTGATGTACATCTGTATTTTCCCAAATAATGCATATATATTGAATTCACAGGTGCAATAAAGGCTGTGAAAACATGGCAGCTGCTTGGCTTCACCTTATAGTTTGACTCATCTTGATCATGTGGATGAGAATATCAAATGAAAGGCAAACTTTAAACCGAACTTAACACGGGATTCCAGTGCGGGGTTGATCCGGAGGCCCCTCTCGCGACACAAACCTGCTTGCTCAATGTGTACTGCCTGGGCATGCCCTCTGACCCACACTCCCCTGACCATGCCCTCTGACCCACACTCCCCTGACCATGCCCTCTGATCCCCACTGTCCCAATCTTGCCCGCTGTTTCACACTGGCCCAGCGATTACCTCTGAGCCACTCCATCTTCCCTGCCCTCACCGCAGGATGCTGTGGCTGCCTTTGCACTGAAGGCACAGGTCGTGTACCCCATCAACCAGAGGTATCAGGTAGGAACCTCACTCAGTTTAACACATAGGAGGCTTTCGCGACCAATATCATCCATAATAGAGGGTTTTTTGGGTTAGATCGCGTAAATATATAAATGTGTCGTTAAAACCCACCACCACCCGACACAGCCAACTATGCCAATTCGTCACTAGTACAGCACACCGGTGTGTTGGAGAGCCAAGCCACAACATTTACAAACTGAGTACGACGTTTTGCCAGTAATTATAACTAGCTTCATCAGGCGACAGCCAGATTTGTGGAGAAGTCTAACTGTTTCGTTTCTTTATAGAGGCGTAGATGTGTTGTGACCACCCTTCTGCGCTCTTGCACAATGTGGGGGGGGGGGATTACTGAGGCAACGTACATTATGCATGTGCATTATGCGAGCCCTTTGAACTTATATTTACGAGATGTTCAGAGTTTTTGATGAACAAAGAGGTCCTACCATGTCGGGCTGTATTTGTTTCAGATGTTTGGAAAAACAAAACATCAGAGTCAGATTTGGCACGGTATATAAAATACAGAATTTAATATCTGGTACAAAAGATGTATTACCGAAGCTATCAACAGAAGGTGTGTACCGGATTAACTGCACGTGTAGTAAATGTTATGTTGGGCAAACAGGACGAATGATCAGCACGAGACTAAAAGAACATCAGAGATATATTAAATTCTTAAAAATGCAACTGTCAGCAGTAGCAGAACATGTGTGCCAACAAGGACACTCCGTTGATGTTGGTAATGTTGATTTTTTGTGCAAAACTAGCTACTACTGGCTAAGAATAATTAGAGAAATTGAAAGAAATCAAAATAACTTTAACCATTCAGATAGCTACCATCTTAGTGCTGCGTGGAAGCGAATAATCAAATAATACATTATTTAAATGCATGTGTAGTGAGTCCAACTGAGTCGCAGACGTTAACTTGGGAGCAACACTATTTATTGTACATCAGGGGTCCTCAAACTTTTTAAACAGGGGACCAGTTCACTGTCCCTCAGACCGTTGGAGGGCCGGACTATAGTTAAAAAAAAACTATGAACAAATTCTTATGCACACTGCATATATCTTATTTTGAAGTGAAGAAACAAAACGGGAACAAATACAATATTTAAAATGAAGAACAAGTAAAGTTAAATCAACAAACTTGCCAGTATTTCAATGGGAACTATGAGCCTGCTTTTGGCTAATGAGATGGTCAATGTCCGGTTCCATATTTGTCACTGCTAGTCGTAACAAGTGATGCAAGTGTGCATCCGTTAGTCTAGATCTGGTTGGAGATTTCAAATGGTTCATTCTGGAAAAAGTCTGTTCACAGACATAAGTGCTGCCAAAGATGGTTGCCATTTTGAGTGCATGGTTCCTGAGATGAGGATATGTCTCAAAGGGGAGAGATGCATAGTTGTTACGAAGGCTGCTTGACTTGAATGCGTCTTTCAGAGAGTCACAATTCTGCAGTTCAGCCAGTTCCATCTGGTAAATTGTATCCACATTTTCAATGTCAATCGAAAATGGGTTACGGAAAAGCTGTATGTCCTGTTCATGGAGATGAAGCTCTTTAAATCTAAATTGGAACTCCTTTTGCAATTTTTCCAGTGAATCCACACATGTTTTGTTTGGGAATTGCAACCAATGGTTTTTCCGCTAACAGATTTTGAGTTGTGGGGAGATGGCAGAAGTTTTCCTCCTTCACTTGTTTGATGAGGAGGCCTAATTTTACTTCAAATGCTTTGACATGTGATTGCATATCACAGATGAGCTTCCCCTTTCCTTGAAGTTGCACATTGAAACTGTTGAGTAGCTCTGTTACATCTGTCAGAAAGGCAAGGTGCCATTTCCATTCTGCATAATTGAGCTCTGGTACTTCTTTGTTTTTTGAAAGCAGAATAACTGTAATCTATGGAAGTAAGTCATAGAAACGTTTCAAAACTCTCCCTCGACTCAGCCAACGGACTTCTGTGTGGTACAGAACATCTTCATAGTCAACATTTAGTTCAGACAGAAATTCCTGAAATTGTCTGTGGTTTAGTGCATGAGCTCTAATGCAGTTAACACAAGATACCACAATTTTCATAACAGAATCCCACTTCAGTGATTTACTACACAGCGCTTGTTGGTGAATGAGGCAGTGTATGGCTATTGGATGAGAATGGTTATGTTTGTCCATCTCTTGGTTAATGCGAGCAATTACTCCTTTCTTAGACCCCACCATGCTAGGAGCACCATCAGTTGTCACACTGGCTAGTTTAGCCCAGTTCAGCTCCAAACCATTCACAGTTTGGCAAACTTTTCATAGATATCCTCTCCTGTAGTTGTTCCTTTGATGCTTTGCAGTGCAGCAAGCTCTTCTGTGACTTCGAAATAGTCATTCGTTCCACGAATACAAATTAGAAGTTGTGCAGAATCACGAACATCATTGCTTTCGTCGAGTGCGAAGGAAAAATAGGAAAGTTTTTTTGTGGAGTTTTGCAAATTGTCTCGCATTTCTTCAATCCTCCGTGTAATTGTAGGTCCTGAAAGACTCACTGTACTAAATAAATCGGCCTTCTCTGGACACATCTCTTTGGCAACAGAAAGAAGGCATTCTTTAATAAATTCTCCCTCCACGAATGGTCTGCCAGTGCACGCTATTAGCTTGGCAACTTGAAAACTTGCTCGCAGTGATGAAATATTTAGCCGCTTCTGCTTCAAAAAAGTATTTTGCTGAGTTGTTAATGTATTTTTCAGTTTTAATATTTCATCTTTTCTCACTTCTCCGACCAAACAATCATATTTATCTTTATGTTGAGTTTCATAGTGTCGACGTAAATTGTATTCTTTGAACACATACACTATATTCTGGCATATCAGATACACAGCTCTTTCCTTGTACTGCATGAAAAAGTAATCATAAGTCCACTGTTTTTTGAATATCCTACACTCCGAGTCAATTTTTCTCTTTCTTGACATCATTGTTTCCTAGGGAGTCAAAATTGCTATTAGTAAAATACCAATATATATACAGCGCTACAAAAACAATATACCAGCAATAACTTTGCCCACACAGAGACATACAGACTGCACTGCCCATCAATGCAGTCTGATTGGGGGAACTCCGCTTTTACCCCAGGCTCACACTGGTGCGGGTGCCATTAAAAAGTTAATTACACCTGCAGTTTTGTTCACAGATCGCAGTACATCCCCAGCACACAGGAATATCACTGGGAGTGGAGCCGAGGGGCAAGTGAGGGAGCTGAGGGAGGGAGAGCCAGTCAAGCGCAGCCAGGGGAGGGCTGGCAGCCTTAGGCCTGGGGGGCAAGTCCAGTCAATTGGCCCATTGAACCATTCACCAGCGCAGCCCAATGAGTGCCCACCGCCGCAGCTCAATCAGTGCTCACCAGCGCAGCCAAATCAGTGCTCGCCACCGCAGCCCAATCAGTGCCCACCACCGCAGCCCAATGAGTGCTCACCAGCGCAGCCCAATTAGTGCTCACCAGCGCAGCCCAATTAGTGCTCACAAGCGCAGCCCAATTAGTGACCATGGGCCGGATAAATGTCCTCGGCGGGCCGCATGTGGCCCGCGGGCCGTAGTTTGAGGACCCCTGTTGTACATCAACACGTAACATTACACGGACTCCACTCGGGTCTCGAATGCTCATCTAGGCACGCTACGGCAGAACTAGACACGGTTCGCTATCCCGGTCCGGACCCCAAGCTGGGCCCAACCGCGTGGCTAGAGGCTTCTTCTCCCTGACGTGGATCTTCCAACACCAGCACACGAAGAACCTCGACCTCCTCACAGAGCCCTCATTATATGCTCCCAGGCTGGGGCTGGCTTTGCTCTTAGCCCCGCCCATCTTTCAGGCTTCTCGAGCTCCTTTTCGAAGGTTCCCGAGAGCTCCTTTGGACCACGTGACCGCCCCGTGGCTCCCATCCACCGGTGGCCACCCTCCAGTATTGTCCGGTCACGTGACGGCAGGTCAACCAGAGTATCATGCCCCAAGGTAACCCTGGCTGGCTGACGCTCGCTCTCGCTCCTTCACCGGGAGCCCGCACCGCACACTGCTCGCAGTGCCTCCACGCTAACCAGCACTCACCCAACCACCGCTAGTGTTTGTACTGCATCCCGTAACCCGGGCTGCCCGTAATGACAACGTTACCGGCCGTGACTTTGCAAGCCCCGGCACCATACAGTGACAAGCACAGTCACTACACATGTGGAGTGACATAAATGGTGTCACTAGGGTATTCGCGCCAGCTACTGTTACAGTAGTGTAACTGTGCGTCCGGAGCCTCTCTAGCACCAGAGTAAGTACTGGATGTCAGCCAGCCCTAGGGGGGGAAAGTCCTGGTGATGGCCTGAGAGAGGGCAAGTGAGGACGTGGTGGCCTGAGTGGGGCACGTGATGCTCGGTCGAGATCCTTTTGGGAAAGGTCTCGAAGGGGGCGTGGCCGAAGGTGGAGCGAGGCCACACCCAGGAGCATCAAGGGGCAGTCCCGGGAGTGTTCTGGGCTCGTCTGTGGAATCAAGCCTGGGTCCCGTGTCTCGTCGTCTCTGGGTCTTCGTCTTGAGTTAACTCGCTACTCGCATAGTGAGCCACATCACATGCTAGAGAAGCCGAGTTACGTTCAGTGTTACCCTATAGGGAAGTTGTTGAATAAAAGTGTTGCCTCCCAGTCCAGAGTGTGTGCCTCTGTGTTGAACACTACACATGCCTACAAAGGGCAGCGTACTTCAATAGGGATTACCGTTGGTAGGGCTATTTTAATAAACACAATAGACAGGAAGGACAAGTTCAAAGGGCTCGCATAATGCACATGCATAATGTATGTTGCCTCAGTAATCCCCGGCCCCCTCACATTGTGCAAGAGCGCAGAAGGGTGGTCAACACATATACGCCTCTATATAAGGAATGAAACAGGTGGACTGATGAAGCTAGTTGTAATTACTGCCGAAACGTACTCAGTTTGTAAATGTTGTGGCTTGGCTCTTCAACACACTGGTGTGCTGTACTACTGACGAATTGGCATGTTCTGTTTACGTGACAACCCATACTAGTTGGCTGTGTCGGGTGGTGGCGGGTTTTAATTTATATATTTACGCGATCTAACCCAACAAAAACCTTTATTATAGAAGGTACATCACTGTCACCACCGCTACCACCGTCTCACCTATACACACGCACTGTACATAGCTGATAAAGCACTCCATTGCACGGTCACTTTCTATGGTCACTGTACATAAATGTGCTTCTCGTGACTGTTTTTCTGGTTTGACAGTGAATGAGAGATTTTTTCAACGCTTTCCCTGTGCTGTTTCATGTGCCGTCTCTCTCCATCGCTGCTGCCTTGAGAAAATAGCCACTGATCAATGCCAACTGTGGCCCTTTAACCCGCGACATGGGGCAAGGGGTGGGGAGCAGGCGACCCAAGGCCCGGGCTGCAGATGTGGGAGGGTGCACGGAGTGGTCCAGTGAGCAAGAGGAGAAAGAGCTGGAGGCTCTACCTGGTTCTGTCGCATGGGGAAGACATGGTGATGCTGAGAGGGAGCTCCAGAGTGCCACAAGAAGTAGAGACGCGAAGAGAGAGTTGGAGATTGAGCCAGACACGGAGGATGTTGGGGTGGCCAGGAGAGGGGCAGCTGTGGGGGCAGCAAGGAGGAGACAGGGCCTGCCTGGGTGTTTGGCTGAGGTCCTTGTCTTGGAAAGGTGAGGAGGTCTCTCTCCCTTAAAGCATGTTCATTGTTTGTGCTGTGCTGCCCATAATCTCTTCAAGTGAATTAGAATGTGACTGTGGGCATCCTGAATATGTTCACACCCTACGTGTACTGGTGACACTGTGCCTTGTCCCCTCTTGTCCTGCACCCCATTGCTCTTGCTCCACTCCCTGTGCCCCAATCCACGTGCCTCTCACCTGGTGCCCTTGGTTCCAGTGAGGAGCGGCTGCATGCTGCATTGTCTTCCTTGGTCCAGCGGTCCTGCAGGAGTCTGCAGGCCAACCTTCACCGACAGCGGTGTGTGGTGAGCCGTGCCTCCGCTCATCCCATCGCTACTTCTTCACTCAGCCTCGTGCTTTAACAACGATGTGTGGAATTTACATTAAATATTATTAAGACATGTTTAACCAGAACAGCCTCACCAAGGCTCAATACTTTTTACCTGCTTGGTTGTTACAGTAGGGGGCAACGATTGCTATGCATTTTTTATAATAAACATCGAGTAATTTTTCTGAATTTGGCAAATTTGGACCATGACACCAGCACAAATGATGTCCCAGGATCTTTACAATCCAATATGAACAGCGCATCATATTTTATGATTAATACACCTCCAGTATTAACCAGGGCTGCCAGCTGAAATTGAACTGTGAGCCTCTGTAAAAACGGCAAACTAGAACCCACTGAGCCATGTTACCACCCCAATAAAAGCACTTAATGTACTTCTTTCGCACCTTACGTAGCCAACTGTGCTAATAGGTGTGGGGAAGGACAACAAACTAAACACAAAAAGCTTTTCTAAAGAAAATATATTAACAACAGAGCCAGGCTGAGGAATGAGTAACGTGTGCCCGTGCTGCGTGTGATGACAGCTGCTGGAGATGATGCTGAAGGAGCTGTGTGGTAGCAATGGAGAACAGAGGATGAATGGACCACACAATGAGGTAAGAGGCCTCGCTCTACTATAGTCCGTGGACTCCCTGCCATATGGGGCACATGGACAGCAGTCTTGTTGCCTTCTTTCCTCACAGGAGTTGGGCACGCCGGATCAACAAGAAGGCTGGCTGGGAAATGGGGACATGGATGATGGGTTCCCGGAGGAACTTGGAGAATCCCTGAGCCACAGTGCCTCCAGCTCATCCTGGATCAATTGCAAAACCCAGCTTACGGTGAGCATGCTGTAATTCTATCAGATTAACATAAATCCATTGATATGCATCGAACTTTGATTATTTGTCTAGGGTGAATTGCGGTACTTTAAGACAAAGTGATTTCCATATGACATCCACTGTTGATTTTTCCCAAAAAGTGGTACTCATGTTATCGACCTCGGAGGAATGATGATGGGCGGAATCAACCCCCACCAACACAACCAGGAGTTAAACTCACGAGCTTCCGATTGCAAGCGGCTTGCTCGACCGCTGAGCCACTCAGCCGAATACATCAAGATATATAAATATACATTACTTGAATAATGAGCCAAGAATGTCTGTGTAACGCGCGTGACGTCACTCCACGTCGACCAGCCCCCCTCATTAATAATCATGAACAGGTGGGGTCCTCCACATACCCCCCCCCCCATCATTAATAATCATGAATGGGTGACGTCACTCCACATGAAGAAAGTGGAGCGGAAACGAAAATGTGTTTACGCAAATTGACGTTTCTTGATGGAAAGGAAAGCTCATGAAGAAATCAACGCAGCAACTAATATAACAAGCCAATCAAGGCTGCGTGTGTGTCCCGCGCGTAACGTCACTCCACATGCGCCCCCCCCCCTCATTATTATTCACGTGTGCCTGCATTTTTTGACTAACGCAGAAGAAGGTCGAGTGACTATGATACATTTTTTACGCAAATTCGCTTATCTTTATAGAAAGTGACGGCAATAAATAATTATATGCCGCATCACAGTGCATTTGGTGCCTTTATTTGTTTCTTTGGCACGTCAACAAAAGGCAAGTCTACTTTACGCTTCCAAATTATGCTACAATAAACATTTCTCTGCTACTTTGCAGACATTGTATCGAATTCCAATTTGATTTCAACCCCAGCGAGCGAAAGCAGAAGATAAGTAAGTATCAGAGCAGTGAATTGCAAGTAATTGAACGCCCGTTAAAGACAGTGCTACTGTGACATTACGTCAGATGTTTTATAACATAATTGCGTGCAAGAACCACTGCCATTAATGCAGTGCTGCGGTCAAATGCTGTGAGGTGTTTTATGACTTCCTTTTGTGCAACATGCACTGCCATTAATATAGTGCTACAGTGAAACGCAGTGAAGTGTTTGATGACATTCTTTTTTTCAATACATCCTCCCATTACATTTAGACAAGATAAAATTATACTCTGATCAATTTATTCGTATTCTAATGCTTCTCTTTGGTCTTCGTTATTTGCTAAGTTACTTCAGACAGTATCAGCACTCTACTTTCTTCACTTTTCGCTATCAAGTGTCCATCGGTGAAGATACATTTGTCAGTTAACAGCTTCAGGTGATTTTAAAAGAGTGCTAAAGTGAAGTTACAGGCTTTTTCAAATTATACAGCCACAGAAATTGTTCGCCTTTGCAACCGAGGCGAAATCGTCTTCATCCCGAGAATCGACCTCGCTTCAAGTGACGTCACGCTTCCTTTCGTACTGAAACGACGACAAATTCCGATAATTCCTGTGTATGCGATGACGATCAACAAGTCGCAGGGTCAGACTTTTGAAAATGTGGGTATTTATCTCAATGAACCCGTATTTTCCCATGCTCTGGCTATATCTAAATATTCTCAGCGGATCAAAGTGTTCATCAAGGATAGCCAACTGCAGGGAAACCTTTTGAACAGTGATAAGAGATTCACACTTAATATCGTATACCAAGAAATATTCCAAAGTCCTTAATTTAATTTACTAAGTTAAGAAAAATGTCTTTATGTGCTACATTTCCTAATAAAATTAACAATCACCCAATAAAATGTTAATTTACATCTTTAATATTACAGCTTCTGTCCTAGGATGGGCTAACAAGCAATACAATATTTGAATACATTTTCAACTTAACAAATCTAGACCAAATTTAACTATCATAACTGAAGCGTGAATGAGTCTTAGACATTGCAAGTATGCAAGAAATATATAATCTTGATTCAGGAAAGTGACTGGATTATGCAAATAGAGACAATGCAGACATGGCACAAAATGTGTTGATATTGAAAGGGAGTCCACACAATTCGGCCTGGTAAGGGAACTTCATTGTTGCAGCAACACAACTTGCACTCCACACTGGGGGGAAGCTTTCCCCAACCAAGCCCCGTGCTCACATTGCATCCCAGTTTTACTTCTCGTTCCTTCTGGACCTTTCAGAAAGTTCTCTCATTTCCCTTTCCACAGAGACCCTGTTCGTTGGTCTCTTTCTCTGGCATCTAACTGGCCCCTCTGCCTTGTTTCTCTTTCCCTCCAAATCTCTCTTCCAAGTCTTCAACCAATCCGCATGTTCTTCCCCCCTGGTCGTGCCCCCAGCGGTCGTTTATTGATGAATTACTGATTGTGTCCTTGCACGATCCTTATATCTTAATGGCTTCGGGCAGCCAGACTGCATAAAAAAAAACACACACGGTCTAATCACAACATTTACACAGGTTTTGTCAAGCGTCTTGATCAATTTTTCCTCAAACTCAACTGTGATTGGAATTGAATTAAGACGCCGTCTTCGACATGTGTGGCCATTGCCCCCTCAAGTCACACCGCTACTGCTGGGTGCTCGTCTGTTCATTCCTTGCAAGAGCAGCATACTCATCTGTGTGTACAGGCATTAGCACACACTTCACGTGGTGTGCGTTGTCCACTTGCATGTGTGCTGCCCGTTGTCTTTATGCAAGGGTCCAGATTCCTGCCCCATTGTTTTGGTACAGGGTTGAACATCCCTGTCCCATTGTTATTGTACAGGTGTGCAGATATCAATCCCATTTCCCCTTTTTTCAGGTGTGCAGATACCTCTCCTCTGTGGATGCGTACCTGCTGCAGCTGCAGGATGAAGTGAGGTCAGCGGAGAGAGAGGCAGAGTGGCATCCGGGGACTCCGGGACAAGGGCTTCTCGACAGGATGGACTGGGCCCCAGGGGCCCTAATCCAGGGACTGCTGCTGGGCGAGTGCGAGCTGGCAAAGGAGGCAGCCAAGCGAGCATCTGTGAGCAGCAGCGCACGGCACGGGGAGGCCGGGCTGGGTCGTCGGGCACCAGCAGCGTTCACAGCAGCTCCCAGCAGGGACTCTAGGGATTCCTAGTGGTCAGAGATTTGTTTCCGATGTATTTTTTCAGGACTTTCCTGCGACTCAGTTGCTGCTGAACGCTTGGTTGACTGCTGCTCTGCTGTGCATGCACGAATTGCTGTTTTGTGTTTTTGCACCATTAATCTCGTGTGTAGTTTTGTTCTCTTTTCCTTCCCCTCCGTCTATTCCTCAATTTATTCCTCAATCTATGGCCATTATGTATTCTGTATTCCCTGTGTATTTCTAAATCTCTTTGAGATGCTTTTGCGATTTAATAAATAATTAAATCGTATGAAAACATTTTATCCTTTGGGGGGCACAGTGGTGGTAGTGGAGTAGTTACACTTGTGCCTCAAAGCAAGGACCACCTGGGTTTGATTCCTGACTCGGGTGCCTTTGTATGTCGAGTTTGTTTGTATGTCAAGTTTTTATGTCGAGTTTGTATGTAGAGTTTGTATGTAGAGTTTGCATGTAGAGTTTGTATGTAGAGTTTGTATGTAGAGTTTGTATTGTGTGGGATTCCTTCAAGTGTTCTGGTGTTATCCCATGACTAAACACATTCAATGTAACTGGTATTGGCCAAACATCCCAATACAGATCCGTCCTGAAAAATAATCTTTGGACTCAAGGTGGCTTTCCTGGGTCAATAAGTATTGATTATTGTCGTACAAGGCTTTGTAAAACATGACTTGCTGCATACGCAGCTCTTGCGGTGACTCGCGTGAGCCGGGTACGTCCGTATGTGCACGTGCGTGTAGATGCTGGACGAGCGCATGCTGGCCTGGGAGCGTGCCGTGCGTGCCCGCGTTTCCACGCTGGAGTCGAGGCAGCGTGTACTGGAGGCTGCGAGGAGGAGTGCAATATTGGTCTTGCAAGCGCCGAACCTGAAGGAGGAGCACGGATGCCGCAGGGCCGAGGAGGCCGTGCGCGCGTTCCAGTGTGGACTCCTCGGCCTGCAGGACGAGTTTGACCACCGTACGTTCCCTCCTCATCCCGCGTCTCCCAAGGCCTGGAGGTAACCGATGCTCCACTCGTATAACATTCGCCCTTCCTGTCCCTCTCTCCCCCCACACTGTGTGTGACATCTCGAAGGCTGGGAGGTGGAAAGCACTGCGCTCTTGATTCGGCTAGCGGAGTATAGACAGAAGCGCCTGGGAGCTCGGCCAGGTTTGGGGAGAACACGCGACAGGATTGTGAAGAGGCCGTCCCATGCTTTCTGGGCTCCTCTCCACAGAAGCTCCATCCCAGCACTGGTGCAGGTGAGCAGAGAGGGCTGGGAGGGATGAGTTGTCAGGGATGAGTCGTCAGGGATTTTGAGTGAGGACTTTAACTACTGACTGCAGGTGCTTGGAATGATGTGTCTTTCATTTTACAGCAGTGGAAGGAGGAGATGAGTGAAGAGGTAACAGCGTGTGGCAGCACAGATAAGGAGGTTGATGTTGAGGAGGTGTTCGCCATTTCCCAGCTGCATGAGGTGAGGGTCGATCCCACCACGCAGCCTCCTCGCTCCCACTCCACGTTGCACACTCACCGAGACCACGCCAGGAAGCTTTGGCAGAGGTAGCGTCACGGTCCGGTCTTTGTGTTGCCAGTCCCTGCAGGGCACGCTGCTTCGAGCCCTGGACATGCAGATGGAGGAGATGCTGGGCCCGAGTGGCCTTGGCACTGACGGGGCTCGGGTCTTGCTGTGCCGCTTGCGGGAGGAGCTGCGAGAGACGCACATTGGCACGGAGCAATGGCGCCGAGCCCAGGAGGAGCACGAGGCGCTCCTGGCAGCCAGGAAGGTGCTTCCGGCGTGCGCTTCAGTGACGGTCACCCCCAGTGTGCCAGGTTCCTTACATGACAAAGATGCCCTAAACGGGTAACGATGTGCCTGCGTCCACAGGAGCGCGAGGAGCGCGCCTGTCTGGTGATGCTGGGGCAACAGCGGCTGCAGGAACGTGAGACAAGGATCCTGAGCGGAATTTTGCGGGAGGTCCCTGGCCTGGCTCCAGGGTGAGTGTCAGGCACAGCGCCGCCATGCGGGGTGCGTCTTCTTTGCAGGCTGTCGCAATGAACGGCCCTGCTGTGCATGTCCATCCCACAGGGCCGTGCACCGTGCACAGTTTCAAAGTGAGCTGTGGGTGTCGCTTTGGAGCGGTGCCATGTGGGTCCCCCCGCCGCTTCGCCAGGACCCCAGACTCTGCTCTGGGCTCTGGCCTTCTATCGTGGGCTCCGAACCGGGGGGCCTGCAAGGACCCCGCATCGACGCGATGCAAATAAAATGGCGGCGGGACGTGGTTCTGTGCGGGCACACGGTGGAGGTGGCTCGGGCCGCTCGCGAGGATCTGAGGCAGAGAACCCGGACCCTGCTGGAGCAGCTGCTAGCGCGAGGGGACATCACTGCGGGACCCCTACTTGTTAACTAATAAAGCCCAGATAATATACATTTTCAGTGATGCCGAGGTGCAGTCTTGCTCAGTGGTGCTCTGGGTTCTGTTTTTTTTACTCATTGTGCATATTAAAATGCGTCGATTTTGCTTGAATTCACCTTCGCAAGTGATCAGAGTTTATTTTACCAGGTAAGAACTTGAGCCGTAATGGGCTCACCTGATCTGGGTGGCCATACAAGTAAAATATGACACAAACAAGATGCATCAAGTTTGATGCTGTGGCATTGACTGCCAGGAGACGAGCCTTGATGGGCATAAGACGCATGCTGTGTTACCCGAGTCCAATAGGACAGTGTCGTGGGATATAGCCTGTTTGTGGAACCAGTGGGAGGTTCTGGTTGTCGCATGTTGTGCATGTCTCGTGGTGCAGTAGAGCTTGCTGACTGATTTCGTTTACAAAGAAAGGCTGTTCCGTTTGCAGTGTTCAATCTGCAGGAGCGACGGGGGCGTCACTCACGAGTAGCGCTGCACGTGATCTACGCGTGACGGCACACATCCCTGGGAACCATCAATCACGGCACCTACCAGGACAAGGAACCACAGCTATAAAAGACTTTATTGAGGTGCAGTAGTGTGGGGCAGGGAGGGCACGAGTGCTATGGGCCACAGCCTGCAAAGGGGGGGGGGGGGGGGGGTAGGGCAAAGGGGCAGGGTCTAGGCCCGAGGGCTCGCCGGTAGCGCAGGGCGCGCAACGCTTTCACGCGGCGCCCCGCGGCAGCACCTGGGCTGGATGGCCGCCCCTCAGGTGACATCGCCAGCTGAGAAGTCAAGAGTGGCGATGAGCGTTGCAGGCACGTGGGAGGACAGTTGCGAGATGGAGTAACGTTTGTTCAGACTGCATGCACTGGCATGTAGCCACATGCTCTTAACAAAAAATATTTATTGTACTTAAACGCAACATCTCCTGCAGCCCTGCGCTACATCTAAGTGGCCAGAGGAATGAGCAGCTTTTGTAAACGAGGGCTGATCCGTGCTGCCCGACCCTATTGGACTGAAAGGGACAGGATCCCCACAGCGAATTTACGTACGCAGCCTTCTTGAGTCTTATCAATTGCCTACCACTGCGACAGCCTCTCCGTAGTGCGCAAAATACTCCATGTTCCAAAGAACCGCAGCCTGCAGTCAGTGTCGCTGTGCACGTAGTGGTGGAGTAGATGGGACCTGTCCCCAGCCCCCTTACCCACACTGCCCACTTTGCTCCCGGTCTCAGACCCTGCCCCCGATGCGTCCCGACCCCGGGACCACTTATTTCAGGAACTAAACAGCAAATTCAATTCACGAGCAGGCGGCGTAGCGAACCCTACCAAAGAGAGCGTTGGGGACATTGGAGGTGGGGGGAGGGGTATACTGATGGAGAGCGAGCACCAAAATTGCCATGTAACGCACATTCACCAAATTCACATACACAACAACATGCACCACGCCACGTACAGGCTACCCTAGCCTTAATCTGCAACTCGTTACACGAACATTACCACACTGGCCGCTTACTTGCGCATGGCAATACAACAGATGTGAGGGTAAAAATCATAATACTATAGTGAGGACATCATCACAGTCACCTACGGCTATGGCGCTCTGGCCGCTGGCACCAGCGCCGCTGTCCTTGGGCCAGAGCAGATCTTGGTATCACTTGAGGTGGCAAAACAATCGATGTACAGATTCATCATATGGCCAATAAAAGTACGTACGTTTATCACATTTCCAATAGTTGCCCTAAATGTATTTAATAAACCTTGAAAATGTAATTTTGCCTTCTCGTGGTACTGACGAGCGAGAGATCTGGTCTGGAGCCGCGGACAAGTGGCAGTGAATTTCCGTGAGACGGCAAAGAGCCAGGCCCAGCCGTGCGTGACGGGAGACCGGCACGCAGACCCCGCCGTGCCTCCGTGCCACCCTGCCCCCGCACACGAGCGTGGCAGCAGCGCTGGTCCTGGGTACGCTGAGTGAAGGACGCCACCGCGTCGCATCCCAGGCGTCAGGACCCTCGGACAGGTGTACAGTTGACGTCTACCTGCCGGGCGGGGGGGTCGGGCGGGGGGGTCCCTCTGTGCTGGGTGCTGCAGTAAGGTGGGGTGTTGCAGTACTGCGGGCTAGGGGCGACCGTGGCAGGGGTGTGTGGGTGACGCGCGATGCGAGGTGCTTCATCTGACGGGGGTGTGGCCTGGCTGTGACGGGGACCGGGGGGGGGGGATCTGCGCGGCGCAGCCAGGGCTGGGCGGCGGGTGCTGAGGGCACGGGGGAGGGGGCGGGGCGGGGCTTTTCCCGTGCCGTCGGGGGCGACCCCTCGCCCTTAGCCCAGGGATGTGATGTTGGAGCGGCCTCCCGGCGGGGCGACAATCCGGTGTCCCGTACGGCGGGGCAGCTCGTCATCCACCTGGGCTCCTGTGCGGCCGATCACAGCTTCTGTTAGCATCGGCACAGCCATTAGCGGGGGCCACAAAACGACAGAAGTAAACAAATCAGCAGCAGCAGCAAAAACAGCGGTGATGTGTGATATGAAAGCGATGATGGGCAGTATGAATGTGTGCCAAGACAGTTTGTGTAGGCATCGTCACAAGGTTGCCAGGCACTGTTGTGATGTTCGTCCACTCATTCCTCTCACCTTACCCATGAGTCCAGCGATCAAGGGAAACAACTATTGAACTATTTTTACTAAACTAATTATTTTACAAGGTAAGGCCCACTGAGCTGTATGTAACCTTTTCAGAAGCGACCTGGCCATAAATGATAGCTCAAATAAGCGGCTTACCATGTGTAAATTAATAGTAAAATATTCTAAACGGCCTGATGGTGAGATACTTTCAGGGCACATCTAAGAGGTCGTGTGCCTGTTGTGAAGCACCTGCAGGATATGGTGGAAGATAGAAAACGTTTGGCTTTTCTAATGATGTCATCTTGATCGTGACTACCCATGGCAATAGTGGGCTCTCCGGACCCCGTTGCCCCGTGCTGCTGAGTAGCACCCCACGTGTGTGCGATGCGCTACCTGAGAGGCTGAAGCCGGACTGGTGCAGGTTGCGCAGCTGCGCTGACTGCACGGCCGACTTGGCAGGCGAGGTGCGCGCCGACGGGGTCGGGGTGGCCGTGGTGGAGCGGACTGAGGAGCCGCTCAGCTCGAACACGGGGCCGTCGTACAGGCCCCGCGGCACGCCCCGCATCTCGGCCAGCTGCCGTGCGCACACAAACACAAAGATCCCCCGTGTAGCCTTAACAGACCATTGGGGCAAGTGCAGCTAGCGAGCACCTATGAAGGCCGGCACGGCACACGAGGGGGTGGGTGACCAGCACTACGCACGACCGCATTTCACTCCTCAGTGGCGATGATTTTTATACACCGCACCAGGTACTCATTTGATGCTGAGTCGACCTAGGGGAGGCCCAGAACTGGTTCAGATAATCGTCACTGGTGTTGGCCGTGTGCTGGAATCGAAATCGAGTCGCTGGGATTGTAGCGGAGCGCGCCAACCGCTACACTCCCGCTTGCCACACGCACGCACATAAACGCATGTGTTCGGGCATCGACCAGTGTCCAGGAGGCTGAGACTCATGTCTGTACCGAGTCACGTGTACAGAACGGCAGTGCACCTTGTTGCGGGCCTTGATGCGCTTGTAGACTTGCTCGGGGAAGGCCTTGCGTGGAACGAAGCGGCCAGCGCCCTGCGTGGCGCTCAGCTTCCCCTCCTCCAGCACGATGCGACCCTGGCTGATGACCACCAGCGGTGCACCCCGCACCTCCATGCCCTCAAAAATGTTGTACTCCACGGCCTGCGGGGACACGGACACGGACGCGGCCATTGGCACCACGAGGCCCTCGCGAGACTCTCCGGTGCTCACTGCTCACCATCGCTCGGCGCTCGAACTACAGCGTGCCAGGACCCACCGCAGTGTGCGTCTTGGCCGAGATGGTGGTGACTGTGTCTGGCTCCCAGATGACGAGGTCGGCGTCTGAGCCCACGGCAATACGGCCCTTGCGTGGGTAGAGGCTGAAAATCTTGGCGGCGTTGGTGCTTGTCACGGCCACGAACTGGTTCTCGTCCATCTTGCCAGTGGCCTGCGGGCAGGCGAAGAGATTATCACTGTGCACGTGGGGTGTGTGTGTGCGTGGCCTCTACGACCCAAAAGGCTGAGGCATTAGAAGAAGAAGCCTGTGTGTGTACGTGTGTTGTTCTCACCACTGCCTTGTCCCACACGATGCTCATGCGCTCCTCAATGCCGTTGGTTCCTTCTGGGATGAGTGTGAAGTTGTCCTTCCCAAGCGCTTTCTGCGCGGTGGTGAATGTGCAGTGTGCGCTGCCCGTCACCTGGAGGTCCCCACTGTGGGGTAAGCAAGGGGCAGGGGTTGTAGGTCACTAATGGACAAGAGATGCACAGGAAGATGGACATTTTCCTGTGATTATTTTGTGTTGTGTATTTCAAATATATATGTGTTTAACTTGGACCCACATAAAACATAAAGCTCTGGCAGTTCGATATTTATATTGCAATAAAGATTGACTGCTGATGAGACAACGAAAGTCGAAACTGGTCCAAAGTTTGATTGTGTTGAACCAATGTAGCTCAATGTACGCACTCCCAGAGGGCAGTGTGGCAAATGGGATTTGTAAACTGTATATATTTTTACGTGGAATGGCAGGTGAACAAGGCGAAAGTTATATTTATTTTGTTCATCCTATTGAAGCATTCGTTTTCGGAGCAGCGACATTGCAGTCGGAGTGTGTGCGCAACGTGCGTGAGAAGGAGCGCGTGCGCGGCAGCACCAGGACAGCAGAGAGTTGAGGTAGTCGGGCGTGGTGGGGTCAGGGCTCAGAGGCGGAGAGGTGACGAAGGCCGCGGCTTTGGCCCAGTTCTTGCTCCAGTAATGAGATCCGTCGGTGCCCAGACTCGCCGTGATGGGTTCCCCATACACCACCGCGCCTGGCGCGATGCACGCAGCACACGGACGCGGCACGCACGCCACGCTGAGTCCACACACCCCGTCATCGCACGCACCCCAAGCCGACTGCACGCACACGCCCCGTTGACACAGCAGCACGTGGGGCCGTGTGCACAGGACTCACCGCGTGCATCACGGTGCACACCCAATTCATAACACACGTGCACACCCAATTCATAACACACGTGCACACCCAATCCATAACACACGTGCACACCCGATTCATAACACACGTGCACGTACACGCGCGCGTACAGCCACCGAAACCCGCCCAGTCGGTGTAGGTACCCAGCCGTGCCTCTGCCTCGTCCCCGTGTCCGTTACCCTGACACCCCTCACCTTTTTTGCGCGCTTGCGAGATGACATCGGCAGCGCTCTTGCTCATGACCTTGGTAATGTAGAGCGGGCAGTTGGTGTGGTTGGCGATGGTGATGGCACGGTTCACGGCCTCGGCCTCCACCTGCAAAGGGGGTGAGCAGAGGAGGAGGTCGGTCACCGCGGTCGGGAGGATTGCACCGACGGTCTCGCGGCACCGAGATGGTGGTGGCGGCCAGGGCTCACCTCCTCTGGCCGGCTGAGCACGTGACCTTCGGGACCGGCGATTCCCATCTCCAGGATTCGCTTCTGTTCCTGTAAGAGTCCAACACGGGCAGCCCACGGTGAGGCTGCGGTGAGGCCACGTCGCTGGGTAAAAGTGACACAGCTGCTGGCTGGACGAACCCGGTCCTGGAGGGCACTCACCTCGGCTATTATGTCACCATTCTCGGCGTGAACCAGGGCGATGGCGCCGATGTCACGGAGGTACGTGAACACCTCGTACATCTACATGCGCGCACAAAGATAAAGACCTCCCGTATCACCTACACAGGTTGTTTGGGAAAGTAGCGATGTTTACACATCGCACCAGGTACTCATTTGAGGCTGAGTCGATCTAGGGGAGGCCAAGGACCGGTTCAAATAATCGCCACTGTTGTTGGCCGTGAGCGGGTATCGAACTTGGGTCGCCGGGTTCATAGCGCAGCGTGTTAACCGCTACACGAACGCTCACCCCACATTCAAAGACAAAAATCCCCCATATAGCCTGAACAGACTGTTGGGGAAAGTGCTGTTAGCGAGCACCCCGTGCGGGGATCGACTCAGCCCATCATCACTCCGGGGATATTAAAATGAGTACCACTTTATGGGGAAGTCAACAGTTGGTATCCTATGGATAAACTCGCTGGCCATCAACGGAATGTGGACTTTTCACGACTGGCTCAGGGCTGTAAACTGGGTATGAGCACCGCCTAATTTTTTTTATTTGGGTGCCACGGTGGGAAGATGTTAACTACCTCGCCTCGTATATAGAAGGTCGTGGGTTCGACCCTGACGCTTGTATATTTATTGTCTCTTCGTGGTCGCGTGGATTTTTCTCTGGGTCCTCCGGTTTTCCCCTCCAAATTTAGAAAATCAACATCACGCGTTTAGAGAATTTTGCTGCTCTCCATTTCCACGTGATAAGCCATTTCGTTGAGCTATCGTTCGTGGCCAGGTTGCTTATGTAAAAAAGAGCTGTTTAGCTCAGTGGGCCTTTTCTGGTAAAATTTAGATAGTTTAACGCAGAGCAGCCTCACCTCTGTGTCGCTCATCTGGTACTGGTCCTTGTACGCCATGTAGACGAGGAACGAGTTGATACCTGCAGAGACAGTGGCAGCGCTGACGAGGTTCAGTCCCCCCTCACCGGCGGCAAAATAACACAAACCTCCACACACAGCTCCAGTGCAGTGCGAGGAGGCCCCGGTTGTTGCTGGTAATGTGGTCGGGGTGTTGTAGTGGCCATGCTATTTAGTGTCGTGGCTCGCCAATGGCTGGGCATGGTGGTGGTGTGTCCAGCGAGTGGCCGACCTTACGCCGACCCCGACCGCACGCACCTCGCTCCTTGACCAGGATCTCCAGCTCTTCGGCGACGCCCTCGTGCCACTGGGGTACGGCCACGTGCAGGGAGTAGTCGCAACAGACCTTGGCGTCTGCCCACTCGCGCCACGCGTCGAGCGCCGCCACGAGCCCCTGGCCCGGCTCTGGGATTGCGTGGTCGACTAGGGGGAGACACAGCGGCGAGTCCTTGCAGCAGTGCGCACTCCACCGCCGCGCTGGCCACTCATCCGCATAATCGGTGCCGACGGAAAATCAACAGCGTCGCCGCCTGTTGCTCAATTCAGTTGCGTCGTTGTGTTAGAATCAATATCAATTTGGCAACTTCGCGAGTCCCCATTACACATATTGGCTCGGTTTTGTCTGTTCTGACGGTGGAAGGGGGGGAAAGGGGGGCTTTGTGACCCAGCTAACCCCCCTCACCCCCCCCTCCCTAAGGCCCACACTCTGATACGGTGGGGCCCATCACTCCACGTTACTTCAGGTTGACGCGGACATTTACATGTTCCCCTGGCCTTATCTACAACGGGAAAACACCGAGCACGCACGACCAGTACACGCGTGTAGCTGAATGCGGTGCTTCCCAACCTGCGGTCCCCGGACCACTGGTAGTCCCGCAAGGCCCTGGGAAGTGGTCCGTGAAATTATTTGTTTTACACAACTCCACATCTCTATTGAATAGCGGTGGTCTGTGAAAATTACGTGATGGTTAACAGTGGTCTGCGGGTCCAGAAAGGTAGGGAACAACTGCTCTTGTGTACATTCACACTTAGGACGTGCACATGGCACCAACACAGTACTTACACACGTGCAGTCTAAGATACGTGTAGTATGCATGTCTCGGTATGGCAAGAACGGGGCATGCAAAGAGCGGAGGTGGGAGCGCAAAGCTGAGAAGAGAATGTGTGACAGGTGGGACTTAGCCCCTGTTCAACAGCAGATGGAGCCTGGCTGCGGCGCTCACTGATCATGGTGGTGCCGCCGGCCAGCGCCGCCTTAGTGCCCTGGTAGAAGTCGTCCGCGGTGCTGGAGCCCAGGTAGGGCATCTGGAGGTGCGTATGCACATCTATGCCACCCGGGATAACCATGCGGCCCTGCGCGTCGATGGTCTTCACGCCGCCCGGAACGATCAGGTTGTCCCCAATCTGCCTGCGGAGGGCACGGATACAGGGCGCGGTGTGAGACGCTAGCGGGGTGCTTCCACCGCTCTCACTGCCGAGACCCCCCCCCCGCCACCGCCCCCGCGCCAAGCGTGCGCGTACTTGATGAGGCCGTCCTCCATGTAGATGTCGCCGTGGAAGGACTGGTCATCGTTGACGATGCGACCTCCTTTGATGAGGAGACGCTCGCTCTGCGAATGACACGAGGCACCAGCTCTGTGATCGGTGGGCATCGGCACGAGGACCGTTGCAAGCACCTCACACCTGCTGCAGACACACGGACTCACCTTTCACCTCATCATCTGTAACACTTCTTCATCCGTAACCTCCTCACCTGTGTACTGTGAATTCTATAGCCGTTACCTCTAGATCCTGCGAGCCGCTCCCGAGTCAGTGGCGAGACTTCGTCCCCCGCGCTCTGCATTGTTAACGCGAATCATGGCAGCGCCGTGCCCTGAGGGCCGTGTGACATAACAGGCGCTGACCAGCAATGAAATGCACATGGACGCGTCAAGACACGCGACAGGGTACATCGTGTGTGCGAGTCGCTGTACTATGCGCTGTATTCTATCTATGTTCGATATGCTGTGGTCTGCGTCCTGTGTTCCATGCGCAATGCGTCGTGTGTTGTGGCCTCTGTAATGAGCGCTGGTGTGTGTGATGTGCGCTGCGTGTCACAGTCTGCGTGTTTGGCACTGTGCTCTGCTCTGTCCTCTGTGTTCCCTGTGATCTGCTCTGAACGCCGGGCTCTGTGCATAACGACGCAAAAGGCCCTCTATCGCCGCCTCGCCATTTATCGCCGCACGCATGTCGCGAGCGTCCCCGGCTCGCAGCGCATCTCAATGCGCTCTGCGTGTTAAAAACGCATCTTATTTTTTGCAGTGCACGCGTCGCCGGGCCTGCTGCTACTGCTCGAGCAGCTGCTGCTGCTGTAGTGGGCGTGGGTCCGCTGGGTCGCGCGTGTGGGCGCCGCCCTGCATTGTGAGCGGCTAGCAGACGGCCGATGCATTCAGCACCACGGACAGCGCCGCCGCCGCCGCCGTCTCCTCCATCATCAATAACCGGCGGCGAGGGCAGCAGCGGGCAGCACCTAGCGGGCAGCAATCCCGGGTGACCCGGCCACGATAGCGGGGCCTCAAGGAGGGGGGGGGGGCAGCAAGAACAGGATGCATCCCCGCGCCGGGGTTTGGGAGGGCGAGGGGGACCAGCGCTACGGACGCCATTTGCGTGAGAATGAAAGGCGCGGCGGCCGTGGCGCCATCCCGACCCGAAACCGGGCGGGCGACGAAATCGGCTGAACGCGGCGAGAAGTGGCGACTCCGCGAGCGCGCGGCCATTGTTCAGCCCCGGGGCGGCGCGCCTTACCGTGATGCGAGGGATGTTCTTCTTGCCTTGGTAGGACATGGCTGTCACGGATCCCTCGAAGAGGCGGCTGTGCAAGACAATGAAAGCGAGAAGCTACGGTATCGATTCACAAAAGGGACGCGGGTCGCGCCTCACGCTGCTCTAACTGGCTGCTGCTGCTGCTTCTCTCTTTTCGTCGCTTCCCGTCCGCGTGTCCACCGCTTCGCGCTGCTGCCCGGACTGCAGGACCGTGGAGGCGGAGAGGGAGGGATGGAGGAGGGATGGAGGAGGGATGGATGGTGGGAGGGAGTGACGGGATGGAATGAAGAGCGGAGGCGGGGGGGGAATGGTGTCGGATGCTCCGTCTCCCCCTCGGCTCGCTCAGGCGGGCGCGGCTGATTGGTGCGCGGCTCATCAGCATTCAGAGCGGCTCGGCGCGAACTCGCACTGAGCCTCCCCTGGCCCGTTTCCCCCTCCCTTATTGTGCGCTCATTTCCCCCTCCCTCCATTTTCCTCTTCCCCCTCCTCCTGCCCCAATCCCCATCGCACCCCCCCCCCCCCCGACTTCCAGGCCTCCGTCCCCCTGCTCAGATCGGGTATGGGGAGCCCCCAGCGGCGGGGACCGGCAACGCCGAGTTGCTGATGTCGCGAGTCACGAACCTGGGCCGCGTGCGAAGGGTTTGGGTCGTTGCTCCAAGACCTCCCGCACGACTCGTGATGAAGTGTGAGTGTTCGCCCATAGCGGGGCCAGGGGTCAGTCGTGGCTGCACCACGGACTTCGCCGAGGCTACGCATACCCACATTTGCGTACACACAGCCCTCTTGTCAATCCACGACTGGACGAGGGCCTCCCCTGGGTTACTTTAGCCTTACACTGGGTGCCATGTGTATAGCACTGGAGTGACAAAGACGGCCAGGCGTGATGCAGGCCACACAACCCCTCGTGCTTACGAACATAACTTACCCCAAGTCTCGCCATACTTGGGGTTGGCGACTGACTCTGGTATTTGTCTTCACAGTGCCGATACATTGCTCCAGATACTCATTTAACGCTGAATATGGATGAGCATTGAACTCAAGTGTCCAGGTTCGTAGTAGTGCGCGAACTACTGCGTCACCGCTCCCCACAACACGCCCACTAATCAGCCATGATCAATCCACTGCTGAATGAAGGCCTGCCTAAGTCAGCGCCACTCCTCCGGTCTTGCGATGCAACAATCTACCCATGCACCTTGCACATGAACCTCGCACACGCAAACGCACAGATATACCATGGCCAAGTGTTACAGCAACCACACGGAGCAAAGCGACACACATGGGGTTGCCACTTGTCTGGGGTTGACCTGGACAGTGAAATAATAGAATTAGTGTCTGTTCGAATGGCAGGATAAACACCGCCCGGGTTTTTTGCCCATGAAAAAAAGTGGAAACCCCTACCCACACACACCTTCCACAAGCACAGAGAGCACGGCCACAACAAACGCACTGTGCCCACACCGCACGCGCGCGGTGCAGTTTAATATAAACGCGGGGGGGGGGGTGACACGTGGCTCCAGGCACCCTGCGCTTCTCCGACCGCGAGCCAGCGACCCCGAGATGCACATCGCTCGCTTGGCTCGCTTGCCCGCCCATTCGTCAATGTTCGTCGAGGTGAAACCCTCGTCCCCACGTTCATCACGTGGGGGTTTCAAATGCAACGATAGCAAAAAAGGCGGCTAATTACAGCGCTGCCGCCTATGTACAACCGTGAATATAAATCCAAATTGTTATGATACATCATCATCATCATCCGTGTGGGGGGCCCCACGGACCCGCTCTGCCCCCGGGGCCCCGTGTCTGTTGAGACCCTCACTTCCTGAGGCGCCGTTGCCTGAGCAACAAGCCGGGCCCATGGGGCCAAGACGGGACGGAACCTCAATATGAACCCCACCCAGGACTGTGCACGGAGGGGGCGCTCAGAGGGGACGGGGGTTTGGGCCCCCTTCCTGACGGCTCCCAGGACTGCTGGGAACGTGAAAGAAACCCGGTGTGAGAGCAGCGTCAGTGAATGCACGAGTGCGCTGTGATTGAGTATGATGTGCGTCTGGTGTGAGCCAGTGTGCTGTGCGTGTGGTGTGCTGTGAGTGAGGTGCGGGTCATATAGGGTGTCGCCAGGTGGAGGTCGTGAGCGCAGTTGCTCTCTGATGCCGAGGAGGTGGCGGTGGAGGAGGTAAAGCCACAAGGTGAGCACGGCAGCCAGCGGAGGCGGCGTCCAGGGCCTGAGCTCGCGTTCCACCGTGAACGCACGGAAGAGTGGCGAGGCTGGAGGGGGCGCTCAGCTGTAAGTGGCCTCCACTGCATCCTGCGGGGAGCAATCAACATCAGTGAAGGCAGCCGCTGTCTGTTGTAGTGCACTGCACGTGCGTTGTAGGAGACGCGGCGGACGGGAGGTGCAGGTGGTGGGAGCTGTGGGTGGTGGGAGATGCGGATGATGCTTCCCCCCCCCCCCCAAGCGCCACACTCGATGGGATGAACCTCGCTCTGAATTATGCATGTGGGCGGTAATGGTGGCTTGTTTGCACAAAGCAATGATTTTTAGCCGTGCGCAGATCAACCTGAAAGCACTCGCGGCCTGACAGCCAGGAAAGGAGGGGAGGCGGGGACAGCCGAACAGATGCAACTCGTGGGTGCCGTCGCGCCTCCTGAGATTTTACGAGGCCTCGTCACGTGCATGGGTCAGAGCACGAGGGCCACCATCATGGACATTGAGTAAATTTTTCACGTAATCAATTAAATTCATGGCAGCGAATAGCCAGCGTGCCGCGGTGACGAAGAGTCATGGCGTCGACCGCTCAGGGTGCCACGATTATTTATCCAAGTCATCTAAAAACGGTTAATTTATGTTCTCTGAATTGAGGCAATAACCGATAGTAAACTTGAGTCGTTGATAGTTTCAAGTTCAAAGGACAAGGCCTGTACATGTGGCGCACTGTGCCTTGTATGTATATGTATGTATGTTGAACTTTTATCACCCTGGAGGTGCGGGGTGCGTTCCGATGGGATGAGAAGTGGAACCATGGCGAAATGCACCACGTAGCTCAGAATTCAGCCTTCAGCTAAAACTTAGCGGGAGTTTTATTTTCTACACGACTTGTTTACCTGAGGAAGCCTCACCGAGTCTCGACTCTTTTTCAGGGTGGTCGTGTTAAGTTTTCGCAGGAGGTGGCGACGATTTGCTTTATGTTTTCCAATTAAGTATTTTGTGAGTCATCTTTTAAAATTTCGCTCAAATTTGGACCATGACGGTGGAACATAATGGCTTTTATTCTTCATTTTATGTCACGGAATATGTCATGCCCACTGAAGCAGATGATGCGAAGTATTTAATAGTCAAAGCAAGTAGCATTAACCAGGGCGGCTTGCCAGACCCCTTCAGCAACCAGTAAATGTGCCACTGCTCTGCTATGTCAACCCGGACATCCAATATCCCTCCATAACCTAGAAGTAGCGAAGCTCCCTGTGTGGGGACGTGTGAGTCAGTGGAAACCACGATCCCATCACATCCCCTCACCATGCCGCCGTGATCACTGGCCCGAGAGCTGTTGCTCATCGAGCTGCCGACATGGTGGCACTCGCTCCTAGGACGTGCCCCGTCTGCTGCCCCATCCTCGGACTCTTCACCATCATCAAAGTCTACAAACTGTTCACTGTAGAACTCGTTTTCCTCATAATCGTCGTAATCATCGTCGTCAGAGGAGCTTGTGAGCCACGGGGGCACGCGCCTCTGTGCGGGGCTCCGGGCCCGGCACTGACTCAGCTCCGCACCGGGATCCTGGTGCCGGCAACACAGACATGGGCCAGCGTCATCACCCAGCCACATCTTCCTACCCATCCGCCATGATCCATCACACACCCACTAGCCACCATTATCCAAAAGACCCATACTGTCCAGCACACATCCACCCACTGTGCACCCCACACACACATTAAATCGATACTCTACATTATGTACACACGCAAACATCCATAACGCACCACAAACTAACCCTTACAATACTGTACGTCTACGTAATGACACATGCGTCACATGCCCAGCCATTAAACCAATCCTGTACGTGCAAGTACGTATGCATACTACTCATTCCATCTGGCTGGGTCAAATAATTGAATGTGCCCCATCATTGATTCTGTGTGTTCTTTATTCTATTCTGCGTGTTTATCCAGGAAAGCCATGAGACTCTATTTCAGGAGGGTCCTGCCAAGTCTTGCACAGTAAGGGGCAATTATCACTACGCATTTTCAATCAAGTAATTTGCATCGTACTGTGTAAAATTTGGCCAATTATAACCATGACGCCGGGACACAATGGCCTACTATTCTTCAAAAGAGATAACGGGATCTATAACATCCACTGTAGAGCAAACGCTGCATAGTATTTCAAGGTTATTACACCCGGAGTAATAACTGGGTCAGCCTACCAGATTACGAACCGTGAACCACTACAATATGCAGTAAACGTGCTACCAATGGGCCATATGTCAAGATGTTACCAGGGTCTGGGCACACGAGTATGTACCCTGAGCCCACGTGTGGAGGGATGGAGTCGTAACCTCTCACCTGGGCCGCTCCGCACAGCGAGGAGAGCTGCTGCTGCTGCTCCAGGTGGAGTCGCTGCTCCAGTCCGGGCGAGGCGACGTCTCCCAGCGGCTCCAGGCAACGAGCCGGCACCAAGCCCAGGCGACCTCTGACCTCAGCGTGCCGCAGCCCCGCCGTCCGCAGCCTCGGGCCGTCAGCGAGGATGGCCACACGAACCACCTCCCCTGCGCGTAGCCCCAGCTGGGCCAAGATGGGGGCAGCGCACGCACACACTCACGTACGCACGCAGCACCCCCCATCATCCTGGCTTCTCAATGTGAAATCACCTCGTGGCTCATATGGCCATCCCAGTCGCCTCTTACCAGGGGCAGGTCAGAGATCGGTGCATCTGCAGGAGGCTGGTAGTCACACAGCGCTATGTAGGAGGCCAGCTCTGGTCCTGCCCCGTAGCTCCCAGTGTCACGGTCGGGACTGCCGGCCCGGCTCTGTGAGCTCAAGAGCAGGGTTAGGCCTCCTGCTGCACAACACGAACCCCACACACACGCGAACACATGCGCACACGTCGGCTTACAAGGGCAGCAGTGCTCGTGCCAGGCGTATGTGGAAGGTGCAAGTGGCTTAGTGCTGATAGTGAGTGTTGGTGACAAACGTTTGTCCAAGTGCTCGTGTTGTTGGATCGTGTTGGTTGTGGTCGGTGATGGATTTTGGTGGTGGCTCTTGGAGTTGGCAGTGGGTGCCGTTGATGGGTACCAAGGCGGTTGTCTTGTTGCAGTAGGTGGGTTCTCTTGCAATGCCAGGAGGCCCCATAACCATGTACAGGCTCGGAGGACCCCGCGGCATCAGTGTGGGAGTCGGTGCAGCGGCTGGTCGCTGGGGGGTCGCCCTGCCAGACGGGAACAGCGTTCAGTGGAAATCCCAAGACTGACATCCAAACCGAGTCCCTACCCACAAGGGAGCAGGGCAGGCGCGGTGGCACCAGGGTGCCCAGGTGTGTAGACGCAACATCTCACCACCAGCCTCGTATCACTCGGCTCGCGTTTGTTTCCTGCATTTAACATTTTCTTGGGGACGCCCAACATTAACGTAAATTGGGGCAGCTACAAAGCAAACAATATGCGTGCGAGGCAAAATGAAAGGAGGAGCGTGTTTGTGTGTGGTACATCGTTTGTGTTGGGTGTCAGAGCTATGTGTTGTGTATTCCCTACGGTGTTACTGCATCTGGGGTAGTGTGGTGGGCCTGCAGCGTGTTGTGTATGTAGTATGTGTCATGTGTAGTGTGTTTGTAGTACGTGTGTGTGGTGTGTACATAGTGGGAAGCACAGGTGGTGTATCTACCAGTCATCTCAATCAGTCAACCGAAACACCCAGGTCTGTCCTGTGACCAGCCAACAAGCCTTCGACGTTTCACGTGAAGACCTCTAAGGGCACTTAGCCTGGCACAAAGTTAAGCGGTGAATGGCGGCCGTTACTGCTGTCCGTGTGCATATTCTGGCTTGTTCTGCCTGCACGTGTGGCTGGGCTGTACTTTCGAGCCGCTCCTGGGTAGGTACTCGAGGAGGTAGTCATCCATGGTGGCGTCGTGCAGCGCCTCCTCGGCCTCCTGCACCAGGGGGCTGCCGGCCACACCCAGGGCCCGCAGCTCCTCCACCAGGCGACAGAGCAGGGCACCTCGTGCGCCGCACTTCCCCACGACGTTCGCCAGTCGCGCCTGCGACGGAAGCGAGAGTGTACATTACGGGCTGCATCTCTTCTTGGTTCTTTCGGTAAAGTCACGTAGAAGGGAAGTAATAAAATAATAAAAATAAAACATAATATTACTTCCCTTCTACGTGACTTTACCGAAAGAACCAAGAAGATGAATCCCTGCAGTCACGAAAGCTTTAAATCGAAAGGGCTGCATCTCTTTCGCTGCACATGTTGCACAAGCAGCAACAACAACAGCAGCAGCATTTGTCACGAAGTGGCGGTGATGTCACCACAACACTCAAGCCAGTCTAGGTGCCCTTTGAGGCCACGTGAAGTGTCGAAGGCTCGCTGACAGGTTTCGGGACAAAGGTGTTATAGGTTGACTGATCAATGACTGGCAGATGCACCAACTGTGTTGCCCACTGTGCCAACTTGCTGCGTTTAAGCCGCCTGGTGCTCCGCTCGTTGTTGTGAGCATCACTTCTTTGCACTCTCTTGTTGTTGGGGAACAACTGCCTCCAGCTGCCCAGTAGCGTCCTTCACAAACCTCCACAGAGGCCGATCTTGATACCGCTGTACTAGTCATCGGCAGCTTCACACTCTTCTGTACTGCATCAGTCCAAATCTTCTCTAGCCTATTCCACACCCATTTAGCCCCTCTGTCTGGCCAAACAGACGCTGCTGCGGTGGCTGGGTTGTGTGACAAAGCCAATTTAATTGCGTCTGCCGGATGAGCTCACCGATGGGACAGTATCCAAATCTTTTACAGATCGATGCCAACTCCAGCTGCAAGTGATGACAAAATTCTCACTTGCAACTTTCATCACGAGGCCGAAACCAGGCTACTGTGGGCTTCAATGGGGTTTGAGGTGGATGCACTGCAGGTGCATTCCGTCACAATGCAGTCCAGCAGATGTGGTTGCTGTACGCACCTTGAGCGGAGCCACAGCAAGCTCGGCCTCAATCCTCTTTTGTTGGAGCAATGCGATCTGCGTGAGCGGCACAGAAGCACAACCACCCACATTACCACCTAGTCTGTGCTGACCAGGCAACGGGCAGTGTGTGTGTGTACTGTACACGTGTGTGTGCAAGTTCAATAGTGGGGAGTGGTGGCATAGTGGTTATGAACCTAGAAACCCGAGTTCGATTCACAGCCAACATCACATGACAAATATCTGAACGAGTTCTGGACCTTCCCGGGGTTGCCTGAGCCTTAAATGAGTATCTGGTGCGGTGTGTAAACATGACCACTGGGGAGACAAAGGTGGCTTGACATGGTGCTAGCCACATCGCCTCCTCGTGCTATGTGTTGGCCTTCACAGGTGCTCCATAAAACACTTGCTCCGACATCTTCTTGGTTCTTTCGGTAAAGTCACGTAGAAGGGAAATAATAAAATATTATAAATAAAACATAATAAAATAATTCTCACGACGTTTCAGCCACAACGCAAGCAGCTGTCCTCAGGTGAAGAACAGGGCTGTCGGAAAGACAGCGTCTGAATGGGCACCACCAGGCTTGGCAGCGTATATTTAAGCTGGGTTGGAGGGGGGGAAGGAACGCCTTGACAAAGGAATTTGCATATCAAGAGGAATTTAGCATATTTATGGCAAATGCAGATATGGGATTAGTCACTACTTGTGGAATACGTAGGAGGTGGGGGGGGGGGGGGGGTTTCAAAGTCATATTATGCCCGTGCAACAGTCTGTTAAGGTTTTTTGTGCACGTGCAATACCTGGCTCTTGAGACTCTTGTAGCTCTGCAGCAGAAAGTTGATGTCCGTGCTGCCCTCCCTGGTGCTGCTGCTCTCCCTGTGGTCTCTCTCTTCGTTCTCTGGCTGCTCTCCGTACTGAGCCGGCCCTTGTGGATGTGTTCCCCCTGCTCCGCCCCACTTCGGCAGGGTGGCTACCGCACGTCCCTGAAGGGCTTCCGCCTCGCGCCGCGGAACCCAAATGTCGGGCCCCTCCCGCTCGCCATCTCCGCACGACGCCGGCAGCCTTCCCCCGTCAGCGCGTCGCTGGGATCCATCTCGCTCGAGTGCGGCGATGCGTTGCTCCAGCAGCGTGTTCTCGCGCTCCAACTTTCCGACTTCTTGCGCCATCGCAGCTGTCGTGCTCCATGCGCCCGGCTCCCTGCTCGGACTTTCTGACGCGAAGACGGCGGCGGGCCGGAATCTGCCACCGCAACTCGCCCGCAGTTCTTGGACGTCGCGTTGAATGCGCACGTCCTCCCGTCCTTCCCTCGCCTCCTTCTCGTCGTCCCGCAGCGCCGACAGCCTCCCCTGCAGCATGCCACGCTCCGCCTCGCTCCGCTGCAGCTGCTCTTGGAGAGACCTGAGCAAGGCAGACATTTCCGACGAAACCGGAGCGTCTGCCGTGTCGGTCGTGAGGCTCGTTCCATCCGTGATTGCCGAACGCTGCCGTCCCATTTCTGTGTCTGTCATGCACGCCGCGTCGCTCCGACTGCAGCCCCTTCCCAGCTGAGTGTGGTGGCGACTCCGGGTGCCCGCCAGCTGCTCTTGCGCATCACCCTCGCCGGCTGCCCCGCGTCGCTCTGCCCGGGCATTGGTGTTTTTGTCACCGCCCGGCTCTCGCTCCCGGGCTATTCTCTCCATCTTTCCCTTCATGATGTTGTTCTTGGTCACAAAGAGGAGGTTCTCTCCCTCGAGTTGGCTCAACCTTTCCATCAGGAGCTGGTTCTCATGTATCAGAGTGTCTTCTGGCCTGCAACAGCTGCTGCTGGTGACACCGTTGTCTTGACTGCCGTGGCTTCTGTTTCTATCTTCTGCATTTACCTCTTCCACGTCCTCCCTCTCGTCACTCCCCTCCCTCTCCTCACTCCCCTCCCTGCTTGTGGAATCGGAGAGGCCACAGAGAGTGGCGCTGTCAGCCATCTCTTGTGCTCCGCGCGAGTGTTCCTGCCGCTCTGCACACTGGACACAGCCAATGTAGCACAGTTATCGCTGTGGACAGCACCAGGTGCTGGAGTTGAATGGTATGTGTGTTAAACTTCTTTCGCACCGTACGTAGCCAACCGTGCTAATCAGAGAAGTGCAGTTGTCAGGGTCAGGGCTGTGTCAGATTTTGTGTGTGTTTTGGCTTTGGGGTAATTTTTTTTTATCCAAATTTTCTGTAAATGATGATAAAACGTATGCAGGCTGGAAACAAACCGATTCAACTGCACCCAAAGGAGTGCTGCTCACAAACGGCAGGACGGCAGGATGGCACGACTCCCATCACACTTGCATGCGACCAATGCATCGCATGCCAAGTTCTAGTTCCAGAGCCAAATGAGGCCACCGACTGATGAAGAGTTGAAATCGTGGCCGTCCCAACATATCCAGCGGCCACGTGGTCAGCTCTGTGGAGCTGGTGGCTCAGACACGGCTGAAAGCATTGTGCACGCCATGTGGTGGTCACGTGACTCGCATGCAAGCATGATGGGGAGTCATGTCGTTCTGGCTGACTGGTGTGTTGGAGTTGTGTGAGGATTGTGTTGGGGTTTGTGGGTTTGGGTTATAAAGTTAAAGAAGACAATTACAAAGGCCCTGGTGTGCCGTACAGTGTTGTAATTCTTCAGAAACGTGGGCATTAAGAATGGACAAAGTGGAAAATCGGGGAGTTTTCAAACGTGGGTTTGGCGTCCAATAGAGAATATGAGTTGACAGAGAGGAATTCCAACAAGGCAGTACTTAATCAAATTCAGCAATAAACTCAATAGCAACCAATCAAAAGATGGCAACATAACTGGAGAGGACATATCTAGGTGTGAGGTCTTGCAGAGAGATGCTCGGGAGGGAAGGATGATTGGAAAAAAGGTCTCGAGGTTTGACAAGCTTGAAAAGTAGGAAATGTACTTGTAACTGAAAAGGGAAGCACATAATCAGAGGAAGAATGGTCAGGGAGAGGAGGCCGTTGCTCACCGCATGCCCCTCCTGCTGGCGAGCAGCGTGAGTCTCCCCGGCCGTCTCGGAGTGGCCCTCGCACACTCCCTCCAGCCAGGCCAGCAGGGCAGTCGGACCTGGCTCACCTGGCTCCTCTAAATGGGCAAAGCAACGCGCGACAGCAGGCCAAGCTGCTTCGTGAGCTCCTTATCCCGTGCCTCTGCGCATTTGCGTCTCAGCCATGCACAAGTTTTTTTAATTTTGTTTAGCCGGCGAACACTCAAGAGACCAGGAGAGTCTCATTCGCTGCATCACCAATATGACAAAAGCAGTAACATAAAACAAAGAACAAAGAAGGTAATATAAATCAGCGCAAAAACAACTGCATTACATAAGAAATCATATATACTCCACAAACATAAACATTAAATCAGATAAATTCCTGTTACAAAAATTGCCTCCAATTACTTATTACATACTGTTAGTACTGTAAAGAGTTTCAGAATGCACTGTGCATTACGAAGTGTTGTGTATGCTAACATTACCACGAGTAGAGAGATATCTTAACAGACCCCGATCACCAGCCCCACAGTCCCCACGAGACTGCGGCCCCTGGTCCCAGCAGATCCCCTCAGCTGTTTAACCCATTGGAAAGTTGCCGCCTTTTGCCTTTTCAAATCCGCCAACCAAGCCAATTCCACGATCATTTACCGACGAAGCCGTTCGGCCCGAGTGGCTGTGCCAGTGAGGCAATTCGTGGTCTCCCGGCTCGACGTGTGCCCAGCCAGTGGGTGGTTCTGTACGCCCAATCCAAGCGAAGGGGCCGTTTATCCTATGGTAGGAGTGCGGCTTTAACAAGAACAGGGCGATCCTACAGTACAATTAAGTTAAGAAACATCATGGAATTCGGGCGATTATTGCACTAGAATATAAACAGACAAGGATAAAAATCAAATGTGTTACAGCTGTCATATAGAACTGCAGCTTGGCTCGCAGATCCTCGTTTGCTTTCTCTTTAGTTTTAGGAGAACCACACCACTTAGTGAGGGACAACCAGCAGAGCGTCAATCCACACCGGCATGTATTGGCTAACGTGACTGTTAATGCCCAACTAGATCATGATGCAATCACTTCGGCAGGAGTGATTGAAAGGCAGAGGCCAAATCCACTCAATAACAATAGTGGAAGGCTGCTAAACGTTAGTGCAGCTTGCAAACACCAACACGCTAAACCTGTATCGGCGCATCCACACAATATCGTGACTGCACTCCACATCTGCTGGACCAGGGGTCGGCAACCTGTGGCTCCAGAGCCGCATGCGGCTCTTTAAGGACTGCTTCGTGACGTTATTCATTAAGGACCACCGTCCCGTATTCACCACGTGCATTGGCAGATCTTGAAATCGTGCGTTTTTTACGAATTCGATCAAAATGGCTCTTCTTGTTACTTTGGTTGCCGACCCCTATGCTGGCCCGTATAGTGACGGAATAGCACATTGCGGGCCGCACGTCCTTGACACCAGGACACCAGGACACGCACACATAGGTAGACACACGAATGTACGCGCACGCACAGGTGCTCTGCGCACGCACGCACTGGTGATGGTGCCCAGGGTCAGTGTCGTCTGCAGATTCTTGTTGAGGGTCGGGTCCATCGCGTTCCTCCAGCGGCGTTCTAGGAGCTCGTCCCAAAACACCATCTCTCCACTCTGCACTCACACGCGCGGACACACACAGATGCCCACTTGCAATGATAAACACGAACACCTGCTTGCACACACACATATAACTTGTTTAAGCCTTGGGCACTTGGGGCAAGTACCATTAATGAACACCTATTAAAGCCAACATTGCTTACGATTACAAGAGTGTGGTGTGGCCAGTACCACGCCAGACCGTCTTTGTCTTCCCAGTGCTGATGTTGCTGCACCCCACTAGGTACTCATTTAAGGTGGAATTGACTCAAGAGAGGCCAAGGACAAACTCTGCTTCTGTTTGCCACTGATTTTACCCGTGGCCAAGAAACGCATGTTGCCGGGTGTGTAGCTCCACTGCACCAACACTCATGTAAACCGTCTGTCGACTGTTGGGGTAAGTGCTACGATAGCGAGCACCTATTGAGTGTGACATGGCTACCCTTCTCTCCCAAGTCTTATTTTTACACCAGGCAAGAACTTGTTCGGGTATCACTCGCTACCGATGCTGGCCGTGAGCAGGAATCGAGTTCAGGACACCGAGTTTGAGGCGCAGTTCGTTAATCAATACGCTACCACTCCTCACACACACAACGACAAGATAAATATCCCCCCTATAGCCATAACTCTTCGGGCAAGTGCTGTTTGCGAGTGCCTATGAAGGCCACCAGAGTGCCTATGAAGGACACCAGGTACTCATTTAATGCTGATTCGATGTAGGGGAGGTCAGGGGCTGGTTAAAATCACCAATGTTGGCCTAAAGTGGAAATAGAACTTGGGTCACTGGGTCCATAGCTCAGTGCGCTTAACTACTACACTACTGCTGCCCGCAACAACGACCATCATTTGCCACTAAGTGGTGGTGAAATCACCGTGGCACTTATGCCAGGCTAAGTGCACTTTGAGGCCACGCGATGTGTTGAAGGCTCGCTGGCAGGAGGTCATGGGATAGATCCAGGTGCCGTGGGTTGACTGACTGAAATGACTGGCAAATGCAGCAACTGTGCTCCCCAATGTGCCAACTTCCTGTGTTTTAGCTGCCCGGCACTCTGCTAATTGTTGTGAACATCACTCCTCTGCCCTCTGTTGTTGCTGGAGGGCGACTGCCTCCAACTCCCCAGCAGCATCCTTCACGAACCTCCACAGAGGTCGATCTTGACACTGCTGGTACCAGTCATCGCCAAGTCCAATCAGCTCCACATCTTTCTGTACCACATCAGTCCATCTCTTCTATAGTCCATGCCACACCTGTTTAGCCCCAAATATCCACCAAAACAGTAGCTGCTTGGGCATGCGGTGGCTGGGCATGCAGGCTACATGACTCAGTCAATGCAGCCTCGCTTGCTGGAGGATTTATGAGCTCCTCGCACAATCCAGTCTGCTTAAACCAAGAATGGATTGTTTGCAGGCCAGCCTGAATGTTTCAAACCTGCGCAGATGTTCCTTTAGAGGTCTCCACGTCTCGCAAGCATCGGGATGGGAGGGCATGACTGTGGCCGAGAATAGCTTTGAATAGAGCAACAGGCCAGATAGCTTCCTCACAGCGTTGCGCAGATGATGGAAATATAATGCTGCTCAACTGATTCAGAGTGGGACCTCGGCTGCCAGATTCCAAGAACACAGGATGAGATGTTACTATCCTTTGTGCAAGCACTTCCAAGAGTTCATGAACAGTGAGCCTGGTGAAATTTGGGGAGCACATCGTCAGTAGTGAACCTTTGGTTCCTAGGGTGTTTCGGCCTTTCATACTATACACCCTCCCCAAAGGCGGCCAGCGACAGGGTGATCAATCCTACGCTTGCGTCCCATTCCCAATTAGTCATAGGAGTTGCCTTGTTGTTGATAGCCAACATCCCATGGGACTATGCATGGCAGGGGCGTCCTCCTCCCTGAGTCAAGCATTGTTGACTGCATACCTCCTGGCCCTCTCACTTTGGGGCCCAGCTGGGGTCTTTCCTCTTCATCCAGAGCCACTGACTGCTGCCTTCTGCCGCCTCCGATACAGCTCTGATTGCCGAACGCTGGCTCTGGCCCTTAATTCCCAGGTCTCTAAGCAGTCTGGTTGTAGATGTTGCCACAAAACCTCTGCAGCCCACCAGATAGCTTCCACACAGCATTGCGCAGATGATGGAAATATAATGCTGCTCAACTGATTCAGAGTGGGACCTCGGCTGCCAAACCAGAGTTGGTCATAAGCACACTGCCCAAGTACGGAAACATCTCCACTCTCTCCACAACTGCCCCATCACTCATGGGGAGTTGAGGGAGGGGAGCATTTGATGACGTAAAATACTCAGGCATGTGCTTTGTTTTAGTGAGGCTGATGGTAAGGCCCCATCTCACACGCACCTACACACACTCATACTGCCTTTCACTCTTGGACACACCTTCAGCTGAGAGCGCAGTTGGAGAAGTGACTGCTTGAGCTCCTGATATCGCGTTGGCTTCTCATCTTCTCCCTTGGAGATAAACGGACAGCACACAGACACGTGACCCACATGGACACGTGCACCTTCATAAGACTCCCTGGTTGTGCGGCACAGGTACCGAGGTGTATGGTGGAAAAGTGCATATATGGCAGAGTATGTAATGTGATGTGCATCAGCCAGTCATCTAAGTCGACCCGTGGAACCTGGGTCTGCCCGGTGATCTCCTGTCAGCGGGCGTTCGACACTTAACGTCGCCTCAACGTACACATCGCCTGGCACAAGCATCGTGGTGACGTCACCACCACGTAGAGGCGAATGGCGGTTGTTGTATAAGGTGTAGATAATGGAGTGTGGGAAGGTGTGTGATTAAAATGTTATGGGTTGCGTGAGAAAATTTGAAAGTGTGTGTGTGTGTGATGGGGTGGGTGTGTGTGGGGAGCAATAGTGTAGCGGTTAGCGCGCTGCGCTATGAACCCGGCAACCCGGGTTCAATTCCCACTCACGCCCAACACCAGTGACGATCTGAACCGGTCCTAGGCCTCCCCCAGGTCGACTCAGCCTCAAATGAGTACCTGGTGCAGTGTGTAAACATCGCCACTGGGGAGACAAAGGCAGTCGGGCGTGGTGCTGGCCACCCACCCTCTCGTGTACCGTTCTGGCCTTCATAGGTGCTCGCTAACAGCACTTGCCACAACAATCTGTTAAGCCCATACGGGGGATATTTGTGTGTGTGGGGAGCGATGGTGTAGCGGTTAGCGCGCTGTGCTACAAAGCCGGCGACCAAAGTTCAATTCCGACTCATGGCCAACACCAGTGACGATTATCCTGAACTGGTCCTGAGCCTCCCCTAGGTCGACTCAGCCTCAACTGAGTACCTGGTGAGATGTTTAAACATCGCCACTGGGGAGACAAAGGCGGCCGGGCGTGGTGCACCACCCACCCCCTTTGTTTGCCAGGCTGGCCTTCATAGGTGCTCGCTAACATCACTTGCCCCAACAGTCTGTTAAGGCTATACAGGGGATCTTAGTCTTTTGTATTTGTGTGTGATGGGGTGGGTGTGTTTGTGTTGTGCAATGATGTGTAATGGGGTAACTAGGAGGTGTGCCCACCATGCTGTCTGCGATGGACTTGCACAGTTGAATCAGCCTCCTGCTCTTTGGAGAGGCCTGCACAACACGAAAGCCACGTGGGGTGGGCGTGGGAGGGGAGGCAAGACAGCATGAGCATGCGCGAGAGTGATGACATCTTTAAATTAGCTTTATTAAACATGTGCAGCAGCAGTCTGAGATGCACAATATATCTCATTCTTGCAAATGAGACTTTCCTAGTCTCTTAAATTCTCAACCTGGTTAAACAAAATAAACGTAAATGAGATCTGCAATGGGGCAATGGGAATCGGGGTCAAATTTGGTCTTTGGGGGTCATGCGGTGATGTGATGATGTGGCGAGGGAGATAGAAAGGAGGATATATGACGAGGGGAACCCACGTGCCTGCCCCTATGAAGGACTGGAGCCTTGCGTGGCTTTTGAACGAACACCATTATTGGAAGAAGCCGAACCACAACAGGGCCTGAAAAGATTTTGCACTGCTCAAGACGTGACTTTGCATCTACATTAAGACCTTCCGGGAGGAGAATGCGTAAAGGTAACTGCGGGTGGGTTTGGATGAGACGTCACACCGTGGTGAGTGCACAGGGAGGCCTGGTCGTGTGCTGGGCTGTGGCGTCCACACAGGATCGTGCCGGGCAGCTGTCCTCACCGCCGTTGTTCAGCTTCGTGGCCTGAATTTAAAGACGAGAGATCGGTCGGTCAAACCCTGTTGGTGGGGGTGCTGAAACCATGGCAAAGGCGCGTTGGGGCTGCCGGGGTCTGCGTGTGGCTGAAGACTCCAGCGTCCAACGGTAAGCGTGGTGGAAGATTCGTGTACGGTAATTTCACACAGTACGGTGAGCATTACGTTACTTTAATGATATATATATACGGATATGTTCCATGCACAAACGTTACCTGTGCATGGCACATTTAGTGTGGTCTACACCTAAATCCAAGTCACTCAACTGGAGCGAGATAGGGTTTACCCTTTCTGGCATTAAAGCAGGTGTTAAGATGTTCTTTGCACTGTTCCCCTTTGGTGTTCTCTGGTCTAACGCTGTTGAGATGAGGCTATAAAGAAGGATGTCACTGATGTAGACCAATTTCAAAGACAATGCATAAAATATCAGAACGTGTTTGTATGTTTTGCCAAAAGTGTGTGTGGCTAATGCAGACTTGACACCTTACAAATTGTTTCTATTTGGTTTTGGAACATCTTAACACCTGTTTTATTGCCAGAAAGGGTAAAACCTTGTTTTTCTTCATAGAGTGCATCTGTGTGTCTGTGGGGCAGTTGACCATCTGCGTGGTGGAGTGTCTCTGTGGTCCTGTGTGACGCTGTGCCGTGACGGAGCGACGAGGTGGCATTCTCACCGGTGTGGGCTGCTCTTTCTGCTCCTCCTCACTCGAGTCATCCTCCGTGCTGCGCCTCAGCTCGACTTCTTGCAGCCACCAGCTTGCAGCTGATGCACTGCAGCTGCCTCCTCTCAATCTCCAATGTGACATTGTCTGCCTGTAACTTGGTGTTGTCTTGCTGTGATGTGACATTGTCTGCCTGTAACTTGGTGATCTCTTGCTGTGATGTGACATTGTCTGCCTGTAACTTGGTGATCTCTTGCTGTGATGTGACATTGTCTGCCTGTAACTTGGTGATCTCTTGCTGTGATGTGACATTGTCTGCCTGTATCTTGGTGATCTCTTGCTGTGATGTGATATTGTCTGCCTGTAACTTGGTGATCTCTTGCTGTAATGTGACATTGTCTGCCTGTAACTTGGTGATCTCTTGCTGCGATGTGACATTGTCTGCCTGTAACTTGGTGATCTCTTGCTGTGATGTGGCATTGTCTGCCTGTAACTTGGTGATCTCTTGCTGTGATGTGACATTGTCTGCCTGTAACTTGGTGATCTCTTGCTGTGATGTGACATTGTCTGCCTGTAACTTGGTGATCTCTTGCTGTGATGTGACATTGTCTGCCTGTAACTTGGTGATCTCTTGCTGTGATGTGACATTGTCTGCTTGTATCTTGGTGATCTCTTGCTGTGATGTGATATTGTCTGCCTGTAACTTGGTGATCTCTTGCTGTGATGTGACATTGTCTGCCTGTAACTTGGTGATCTCTTGCTGTGATGTGACATTGTCTGCCTGTAACTTGGTGATCTCTTGCTGTGATGTGACATTGTCTGCCTGTAACTTGGTGATCTCTTGCTGTGATGTGACATTGTCTGCCTGTAACTTGGTGATCTCTTGCTGTGATATGACATTGTCTGCCTGTAACTTGGTGATCTCTTGCTGTGATGTGACATTGTCTGCCTGTAACTTGGTGATCTCTTGCTGTGATGTGACATTGTCTGCCTGTAACTTGGTGATCTCTTGCTGTGATGTGACATTGTCTGCCTGTAACTTGGTGATCTCTTGCTGTGATGTGACATTGTCTGCCTGTAACTTGGTGATCTCTTGCTGTGATGTGACATTGTGTGCCTGTAACTTGGTGATCTCTTGCTGTAATGTGACATTTTCTGCCTGTAACTTGGTGATCTCTTGCTGTGATATGACATTGTCTGCCTGTAACTTGGTGATCTCTTGCTGTGATGTGACATTGTCTGCCTGTAACTTGGTGTTCTCTTGCTGTGATGTGACATTGTCTGCCTGTAACTTGGTGATCTCTTGCTGTGATGTGACATTGTGTGCCTGTAACTTGGTGATCTCTTGCTGTAATGTGACATTGTCTGCCTGTAACTTGGTGATCTCTTGCTGTGATATGACATTGTCTGCCTGTAACTTGGTGATCTCTTGCTGTGATGTGACATTGTCTGCCTGTAACTTGGTGTTCTCTTGCTGTGATGTGACATTGTCTGCCTGTAACTTGGTGATCTCTTGCTGTGATGTGGCATTGTCTGCCTGTAACTTGGTGATCTCTTGCTGCGATGTGACATTGTCTGCCTGTAACTTGGTGATCTCTTGCTGTGATGTGACATTGTCTGCCTGTAACTTGGTGTTGTCTTGCTGTGATGTGACATTGTCTGCCTGTAACATGGTGATCTCTTGCTGCGATGTGACATTGTCTGCCTGTAACTTGGTGATCTCTTGCTGTGATGTGACATTGTCTGCTTGTATCTTGGTGATCTCTTGCTGTAATGTGACATTGTCTGCCTGTAACTTGGTGATCTCTTGCTGCGATGTGACATTGTCTGCCTGTAACTTGGGGATCTCTTGCTGTGATGTGACATTGTCTGCCTGTAACTTGGTGATCTCTTGCTGTGATGTGACATTGTCTGCCTGTAACTTGGTGTTGTCTTGCTGTGATGTGGCATTGTCTGCCTGTAACTTGGTGATCTCTTGCTGTGATGTGACATTGTCTGCCTGTAACTTGGTGTTGTCTTGCTGTGATGTGACATTGTCTGCCTGTAACTTGGTGATCTCTTGCTGTGATGTGACATTGTCTGCCTGTAACTTGGTGATCTCTTGCTGTAATGTGACATTGTCTGCCTGTAACTTGGTGATCTCTTGCTGTGATGTGACATTGTCTGCCTGTAACTTGGTGATCTCTTGCTGTAATGTGACATTGTCTGCCTGTAACTTGGTGTTCTCTTGCTGTGATGTGACATTGTCTGCCTGTAACTTGGTGATCTCTTGCTGTGATGTGACAGCCTGTAACTTGGTGTTGTCTTGCTGTAATGTGACAATGTCTGCCTGTAACTTGGTGATCTCTTGCTGTGATGTGACATTGTCTGCCTGTAACTTTTCATCGGATGCCTGTAATCTCTCATTCTTTGCATGTAATATGGTGCTGTCCGTCTGTAATCTTACAATGTTTTCTTGTAACATCGTGTTATCCACCTGCAATGTAGTATTGTGCATGTGTAATGTGGTATTATCGGCTTGTAGTTTTACATTGTCTGCCTGTAACTTGGTGCTGTCTGTGTGCAGGTTTGCAATGTCTACTTGTAGTTTGGCAACAGTTGCTTGTAATGTTATACAGTCAGTCTGCAGTGTTGTGTTCTCTGCCTGTAGGCTTGCTGTGTCCTCCTGTAGTGCAGAATTCTCTGCCTGCAGCGCATGAGATGCTCTCTCTCCCGGCAGCTTGAGCTCGCCGATCCGGGCCTTCATCTCCTCCAGCCTGCGCATGAGAAGCACCTCGCTCTCCAGCGCTTGCTCCAGATTCTCTTGCACCTCCACCCTCGCCCTCCGCTCCTTCTCCAACTCCTCGTGCAGCCTCGCTTCATCACGCAGAGCCTCTCGCTCCTGGATCAGGGCCTCATCGCCCAGCTGCAGGCAGCAGGAGAACCTGCCAAGCGTGTGCTGCTGCAGGACGGCCAAAGACTCGCTCGTTTCCACGGTGTCGCCCTGGTGATCGTCGTCACCGACGGCCAGCGGCTCCAGACCCAGTTCCGTGGCACTCGGGGCTGCCGACCCTCCCGGCTCCTCCTGCCGCCCCTGCAGGGCCTGCAACTGGGCGCGCTGCGTGCACTTGTAGTGCTCGAAGTAGCGGGCCTGAGCACGGAGCTCTGCCTCCTTAGAGAGGAGCAGCTCCTGGGAACGACGGAGGCGCTCGCGCAGCACCAGCTCCGTGGTCTTCAGGCCCGACACCTGGGACACAACAGCAGCACCAGCAGTAGCAGCGACAACGTCGACAACACGGTCACTGGGAAACTCGCGCACACAGGGCATGCAGAGCGAGGAACAGTGAGTGAGTGCTAATAACGCGAATGTGGCGTGGGATGATGTAGTGGGGTGCAAGCGTTGCGGGTCGATTGTGCAGAGATATAAAATGCAGCCACACCGTAGCTTGGAGGTCACGCTGCGTGCACAGCAAGGAGCGCAGCCGAGTCTGCAGAGTGACCACCTCCAGGGCCTCCTCGGTCTCCCCAGGGCCCCTGGGCCCTCCTGGGCCCTCTAGTCTCCCCTGCGCTCCTGCCGCCTCATTTAGCTGAGCTTTGAGACGGGCCTCAGACTTTTCGAGCTCCTGCACTCTGCACACGGGGCACAATCCAAAAGCATGCATTTAATTACACACAAAATGGTGGCAACACATGGGACGAACAATGATGGTTCGAATCCAGCAGACCTCCCTGGTTAATACTGCGGTTTTTCTTTTCTAACCATAAAATACTACACACTATCGGCTTCGCAGTGGATGCTAAATAACCTGTGACATCATTCGAAGAAGAGTAGGCCATTGTGTGCTGCCATCATGGTCCATATTTGCAGCTGAACAAGCACACATTTGCAAAAATAAAAAACTTGGAGGTAGCAGTGGTGATGGTGTCTCACCTGTCCAGGAGTTTGGCCTCAGAGCACTGCAGGGAGGAGACCTTCCCGTGGAGAAACCTCTGCTCCTCTTGGAGAGCAACCAGTTCTTGGGTGAGTGACTCCACTTGCGTCCGTGCCACCTGCAGCTCTTTGCCGGTTTTCCGCTCGCGCTCGCCAGCCTCGAGCACGTCCTGGGGGGGCAACGCCAATCGCACTGATTACTCAACGGTCACCACAGCCCTGCTGAGGGCACAACTCAGCTGTTGAGCCACGCACCTACCTGCTGCAGATGGGAGCACCTGTTGCGCAGCGCAGCTTCTGTGCGGGCGAGGGACGCGTGGGCGGCCTGGGCCGCATCCCTCTCCTTGCGAGCGGTGGCCCCGGACTCCCTTTCCTCCCGCACGGTGGCACTTGCTCTGTCCAGCTGCTCAACCAGGCGAGCGAGCTCAGCGCGGGCCTCGTCCCGCTGGGAGCGCAGGGCCACACTGGCCCGCTCGGCCCCCTTGGCACGCTGGCCTAGCCGCGATGCCTCGTGCCTCAGCTCTGCGCCCGCCATTTCCAGCTGCTCAATGGTGGCGGACAGACGGGCCTCCCTCGCGGACGCGTCGCACGTCGTTTGGGCCAGGGTGGACGCCCACTCCGCCTCTCGCTCCGCGAGGGCGGAGGCCGCCGCGTGCATGGCGCCATCGTGCTCTACTCGCTGCGTCTGGGGGAGGCAATGGAAGCAGCAAAGGTACCATAAACGCTGCAGCTACAGGGAGTTGACAGCGTGGATGGCTGGGGAAGGAAGATGAAAACTATGGGGGCAGCAGAGGAGAATGTGCAACCTCCCACTGAGCCTTGGTTTCTGGAGCAAAGATATGTGGAGTGAGAAAAGAGGGGAGAGTATAAGTGTTTGGGTTGTGTCGAAAGCGATAGTGGAAAGGTTAGTGCGCTGCGCTACGAATACGGTGACCAGAGTTTGATTCCAATTCACGGCCAATATCAGTGACGATTATCTTAACCAATCATGGGCCATCCCTCGGTCGACTGAGCCTGAAATAAGTACCTGGTGTGGTGTGTAAGCATCATCACGAGGGAGACAAAGACAGCCGGGTGTAGTGCTGGCCACCCACCCCCTCGTGTGCCGTTCCCGTCTTCATAAGGTGCTCGCTAACAGCACTTGCCCCAACAGTACTGGGTGAGGTTGGCATGGCAAGTACACGCATCAGCAGCAACACAAGCAGCGGTAGTAGTGATGCACCCCCACACCTCCAGCTTCTTGGTCAGCATAGCCACCTCCTCCTGCAGTCGTGCGACCGCTCCCTCAGCAGCCAGCGCCCGCGCAGTCTCCCGCTGCCACTCGCCATTCAGTTGCTCCAGGGAGGCCTCGGCCGCTCCTCCTCTCGCCCTCCAGCGGTGGAGCTCCTCGCCGAGCGAGCGCTGGCGCCGGCGCACCTGCCACACGCGGTACAATCATCGCTCGCCACCCTTGCCGGCACCGCCACCGCCGCCTCATCGCCGCCTTATCGCCATGGCTCTCGGCTCCCACCTCCTCATTGCGGATGATGAGTCGCTGATGTGTGGCCTCCATGTCCTGCAGGAGAGCCTCCTGCTGAGCAAGTCGAGCCGTCATTGCGCGCTCCGTGTCAGCCTTGGCCTCCAGCAGGGCCTCGCCACGGACCAGTCGCTCCTGTAGGGCAGATGCCCTCTCGTCCGCCACACCACACTACCCAGAGAGAGGTGCACGCAGTGATTTACTGCAGGCAGGGTGTGGTCTGGCACTCTATAACTGCATATTAGGGGCATAAGGCATTGGGCCCCTGCTTGCCCTTGTGAATGCGAAGCTGCGTGTGGCTGCCCCTTGCCTGCTCTTCGGTGACACGGAGCCGCTCGATGATGTGGCGCTCGCTTCTCTCCTTGGCCTGCAGCTCCTCCCGCAACCGGTCCCTCTCCTGCTCGAGCTCCCCCAGACGCTGCTCCTGCTCGGCGAGCTCTCCCTCCAGCACAGTGAGCAGACGGGAGCCGCCGGCGCCACCGGGATTCATGGAGGCCTCGACTGCCAGGCTCAGCTGCTCGTGGAGGTGCTCCCGCTCTTGCGCAATCTCCGGGAACTCGAGCGCCGGCTGCCTGCTCTTGGCCGCATCCACTACGGGGCACGGACAAGGATCACGCAATTAACCGTCGGGCGCGTTGCGCATGCAGGTGAAGTCACGCAAGGTTCAGCGGGAGGGGTTCATGCCCAACGGCCGAGACGGTCAGACGGGCGTCCCGCACCTTTGTGCTCAGCGAGTTTCTTCTCGGCCGCGTGGCGCTCTTGACGCGCCTCGTCCAACTGCTGCTGCAGCCGAGCCTCGGCGGTGGCCCTCTCGGCGAGCTGCCGCTCCAGGCGGGTGGCCCGGTCACGTGCCCGGCCCTCCCTCCCCACGGTTTCACGCACGACCTCCGCCTGTTGGGTGGCCCGACGCTCCGCGCGCCGCTTCGACAGCTCGTGCTCTGTCACGGCGTCCTCCAGCTCAGAGACGCGCTTTTGCAGCATGCGGCGATCGGACTCCAGATCGGAGACCTGCATCAAGGGTCAGCACGGACGAGCATGGGGGCAAGGGTTATATGCGCAGTGCAAGCACCACCCATACACACGATGCTGCCGATTCTGTAAGGTACCTTCACTTGCTCTAATCGTGAAGTCAGTGGTGATGATGGCAGTGGTGGTGACGACAGTAACGGCAGTGGTGGTGACGATGGTGATGGTAGTGGTGGTGATGATGGGGATTGCGGTGGTGGTGATGATGGTGATGGCGGTGGTGGTGATGGTAGTGACGATGATGATGGTGATGGCGGTGGTGATGACGATGATGTTCGCGGTGGTACTGGTGGCCCGGCCATGCCTGCGTGGTCAGCTCGTCGAGCGACACCTCCAGCTGTGCCCGGAGTGCCCTCTCATCCCGCAGCAGGCGATCCAGGCGCTCCGTACGTGCGTTCATCTCCTCCTCCACCTCCTCCTTCTCTTCTTCCAGGCGCTCCACCTGCCAGCGGCACGGGCAATATGTGTTCGCGTGGATGACACACGCGACCCCCCCCGGCCCTGCCGCGTGGCCCCCAGTCGGGCGAGATGGCAGTGAAGCGCACCTGCTGGAAGCGTTCAGCCAGCCGTCGTTCCGTCTCGGCATGCTCCGCCAGCCTCTCCTCCAGTCGCGTAGCCTTGAACTGGGCCACGCGCGCCTGCTCCTGCAGGGCTCGCTCGCGGCACGCCCGCTCCGCCTCAGCGGCCTCCGCCAGTTGCAGCAGCCCCTCCAAGTTGGAGATCCTCTCGAGCAAGCGCCGATGCTTCGCACTTCGATCCCGAGCCGCACTCCACCGCACTTTCCGCCAGGTTCGCAGACGATGCCTCGTGCCATTGTGGTGCAGGCGACGTCGGCCCCTGGGTCTCCCCAACATTCTCCGTGTCAGGCTCGGAGATCCTCCGGTTGCTGGGCGACCAAATGCCGGTCGCCGGCTCGCCACCCGCAGCGTCGCCGCTGCATGAGTCAAGGGAGTCGAGGCATTCGAGCTCTCGCACGGCGGCGAGCCTCTCGCGCAGGGCCTCCAGCTCAAAGATGGCTCGCCGGTGGTCAGTGCGGCTCTGCTCCAGGAGGCCTCGCAGCCGCCCCACCTCCGCTGTGGCCTCCCGTAGTCGGAAGCGCAGCGCCCCTCGCGCTGTGCAGCCCGCCTCGCCACCCTCCCTGCGCAGCTTGCGCACGTCGAAAGCCGCTCCCTCGCGACCCAAACCGTCGATGCACTCACCGCCAGAGTCGTTGCCTATCGGCTCAGGCTGTGTGGAGTCTCGTGCCCCCCATGCAGGCATCGTGTGCACAGGCACCGCGTGCGCAGACGTCGCCTGTACAGGTGCCCCGTGCGCAGGGGTTGTGTGTGTAGGTGTTGTGTGTGTAGGTGCTGTGTGCTCGCGCATGTGGTCCTTGCCCCCCACGTGTCCCCCATGACCCCGGTCGTACCCCGCGACCGCCCCTTGCTCCGGTAGCCACAGCCGCGTTCCGCCCGCGCACTCGGGTGCCGAGAATCTGCGCCGCGAGAGCGTGAAGTCCACGTTACGAGTCCCCCAATCGCCCCCAAGGGTCCCAGCCCCCCCCCGATCCCAAGCATCCCCCCGTCCCCCATTGGCCTCGGCCATGTGTGCGGGGGGAAGGCCTCCCGCAGGCGGGGGCCCGTACCCCTCCCCACCCCTTGTGAAGTCGCCTCGGCGATGCTGATTGTCGGCGGCGGCATGAAGGACGTGCTGGAGGAGACGGTTCTCCCGCTGCAATCGCTGCACCTCCCCCGTCAGACATGCGACCTCTTCCCTGAGCTCAGCCTCAGGGCCGCAAGGCCCCTCACCGGCCTGTGGCAGACCAGAACCACACTCCGCCACCTTGCAACAACCACACCCATGGAAAGTGTCCACAAGAATGGTAACCACTCGATCTCTCCACCACTCAACCACAAAACCACTCCACAACACAACCGCTCTACCACAAAACCGCTCGATCACTCCACCACTCGACTACTCGTGCTCGCCTGCTGGAGCCTTACCGGCATGCTGCGGCGCCCGGCGCTGCTAGGACCAGATGATGAAGGCTAGCGAGAAAAACAAAAATAAAAACAAAAACTACAAAAACCAAGAAAATGACCACAAAACGACACAAACAACACAGCAGAGAGAGGAAGGGGCGAGAGAGAAAATGTTAAGGCACTGCCCACAGCAGCACTCACGGCAGCTGCAGGAACAGCTGACTCACAGCCGGCCTCGCAAGTACCGTCCAAGGGCACTGCACTTGTTAACGTCCACACAGGATGTGTGGGATTCCTTTGATAGAGAACATGGCCTAATGTATTAACAGTTAACTACGGCCCCTATGGCCACGCACGTGTATCTTACTAAGTGGCTGGTTAATTGAATGTTTCCACTTCCATTCATTTGTGTGTGGTTGCCAGGTGGATTGTTACATCGCAAGATTGAGAGTTGATAGCGGTGGACTGTGTTAGCGGTGGACTGTGTTAGCGGTGGACTGTGTTAATGGTGGACTGTGTTAATGGTGGACTGTGTTAGAGGTGGACTGTGTTAGAGGTGGACTGTGTTAGAGGTGGACTGTGTTAGCGGTGGACTGTGTTAATGGTGGACTGTGTTAGAGGTGACCTGTGTTAGAGGTGGACTGTGTTAGTGGTGGACTGTGTTAATGGTGGACTGTGTTAGCGGTGGACTGTGTTAGTGGTAAACTGTGTTAGTGGTGGACTGTGTTAGTGGTGGACTGTGTTAATGGTGGACTGTGTTAGAGGTGACCTGTGTTAGAAGTGGACTGTGTTAGTGGTGGACTGTGTTAGCGGTGGACTGTGTTAGCGGTGGACTGTGTTAGTGGTAAACTGTGTTAATGGTGGACTATGTTAGCGGTGGACTGTGTTAGCGGTGGACTGTGTTAATGGTGGACTGTATTAATGGTGGACTGTGTTAGTGGTGGACTGTGTTAATGGTGGACTGTGTTAGTGGTGGACTGTGTTAGTGGTGGACTGTGTTAATGGTGGACTATGTTAATGGTGGACTGTGTTAGCGGTGGACTGTGTTAGTGGTGGACTGTATTAATGGTGGACTGTGTTCGTGGTGGACTGTGTAAATGCTGGACTCTGCATATTCCTGAGACTGTTGGGAGTCGTATGTCTACCCTCCCCCACGGTTGTACCCATCCTGATCTGGTGCTCACCTTCTCCTCCAGGTCCTTGATCTGCTCTCTCTGCCTCTCCAGCTTCTTCTCCAGGTCCCTGATCTTCTGCACAGCATGGGGGGGGGGGGGGGGGCGCACACAGTGATGTGGGGGTGGTGGTGGAGCAGGAGGTGGGGTTGAGTGTGCACAGAGGGGTCGTAAGCGTAAAATGGGGTAAGGGAGGGAGGTTGGACACAGCAGGAATGGCGAAGTGCAGCGATCAGCTCATACCTGGGCATGCACATTCACACACACACACACCTCGACAGCTGGAAGCCCATTGTGGCCGTTCACCGTCGTTAACTTACTGCGTTCTACTGCTGTTCTAGTCATGAACACTGGCGATTTTTCTCCGACACCTTTGATCGAATTCACGTTTAGAGGCTTAAACTGGCCAATCTCGAGCAACTCGGAGATTTATCTTGAGATGTAGCTGCGGGGAAACGGCCCCGTGGCCCCACCGACCCCACTCACAGACGTCACAGCTGGCACGGAACCAAACCTGGGCAATGGTGTGGTCCACCCTGTGGCGAGCGTGTAACACCCCGCCCTCCATCCCCCACACACACAGCGCCATCCGCGACGACCCAACCGACCGACGCAACGCCGCGGGCGTCGTACGTGGCTAGAAATTAAAATGCGGAGCGCGCGGTTCCCCGCACATGGCGCTCGGCTCGCTCGGCCCGGATACCCGTGAATTGTGGTTGCTACGGTAACCCGGTATGCCAGCTGGAGGCTGGGGAGGAGGCAGGGGGTGGGGACCGTGTCGTTAGCCAATGAGCAGCACCCTACCCCCTTCACCGGGGCCCCTCTTGCCCAACCCTCCTCGCTGATGCAGAGGAGACCTCATTGATTTTAGATTTAGGGGACGAGTATGATGACGAATGAGTGCAGCCTCGGGGGAGGAGAGGGGTAGACGCGAGGTCGCTCCTCCGGCACAGCGGCTGTGACGGCTGCTCGTGACACGACAGCGCTCACGTTCTTAAAATGGTTGCTCAGAGTCCGTGCAATGGGTGTGAGCAGCCTCTATGATACTCCGGTCACATGCTCTTTAGCCTCACGATGCATTGGGATTGAATCTCTCACGATGCATTGGGATTGAATCTCTCACGATGCATTGTGATTTAATCTTCCTCACGATGCATTGTGATTGAATCTCTCACGATGCATTGTGATTGAATCTTCCTCACGATGCATTGTGACTGAATCTCTCACGATGCATTGTGACTGAATCTCTCACGATGCATTGTGATATAATCTTCCTCATGCTGCATTGTGATGAAATCTTCCTGACGATGCATTGCATTTGATTATTCCTCACAATGCACTGCGATTGAATCTTCCTCACGATGCATTGTGATTGAATCTCTCACGATGCATTGATTGAATCTTACTCACGATGCATTGGGATTGAATCTCTCACGATGCATTGCGATTGTATTTCTCACGATGCATTGCGATTGAATCTTTCTCACAATGCATTGCGATTGAATCTTCCTCACGATGCATTGTGATTGAATCTCGCACGATGCATTGTGCTTGTATTTCTCACGACGCATTGGGATTTAATCTTCCTCACCACGCATTGTGTTTGAATCATCGCGTGGAGGATCTCTCGCCGCTCTACCTTGTGCGCGTGCTGCAGCGACTCCATGCGCTCCCGCAGCACCCGTGCGTCGTACTCGCGGATCTGTCCCAGCACCTGCCGCTTCCACTGCTCGACGGCGCCCTGCAGGTGCTCCCTCTCCTTGTCCGAGAGGCCCCCTCCGGTCCCGACGGCCGCGCCGCCCAGGCCGCCCAGGCACTCCCCTCCTCCTCCTCCTCCGCCCCCCACCAGCAGACCGGCCGCCCCTGAGGAGCACAGCCTCCCCCCCGCCGGCCCGAACGCGGAGGCCGCTCCCAGCGCGGGCCCGGCGCCGACCCCGCACGTGGCCGCCGCCGCCGCGATGGACACCGCCGCTCCCCCCCGGACCCCGCTCGGCGTCGTGGCAGAGGAGCCGGCAGGGGGCTTTTGCTGCAGGGCGCTGTAGAGCGTCGCCTCCAGCTCCCGCACTCGCTACGAGGGGGGGCATGGAAAGGAGCGACATCGCGGACAAGCGGGCGCAGCAGTCAACTCCAACGCACCGCGACGCGCAGCCGAACGTGCAGTGGTGGTGCGGTGTGTAAACATCGTTACTGGGGAGACAAAGGCGGTCGGGCGTGGTGCTTGCCACCCCACCCCCTCGTGTACCTTTCCGGCCTTCATAGATGCTCGCTAACAGCAATTGCCCGAACAGTATGTTCAGGTTATACGGGGGATCTTTGTCTTTGTACTTTGAGGTGGTGTGAAGTGTCAAAGACTCGATGGCAGGGGATCATGAGAGAGACCCGGGTGCTATGGGTTAACTGAGTAAACACACATACACATAACCATGCAGACCATGAGGGCAAGTGCTGTAAGCGAGCACCTGTTTAGACCATCATGGCACTGATTAGCACGGTTGGCTAAGCACGGTGTGAAAGAAATCCAACAAACATACCATGCTAAGCTGTCTTTGTTTACCGAGCAATGGTGTTTATACACTGCATAAGGCACTCATTTAAGACGGAGTGAACTCAGGGGAAGCCCAGGATACCCTCAGATACCCACTTTTCACTGATGATACCCATGGCTGAGGATTGAACACAGGTCACCGGGTTCATCGAGCAGTGCACTGACCACTACGCGCGCACACCCTGTGTGTACCCACACACACAAACTCTGTGTGTGTGTGTACACACAAGGTGTGTGTGTGTGTGTACACACAGGGTGTGTGTGAGTGTGGGCGGTGTGTGTGTGTACAAACAGGGTGTGTGTGTGGGTACACACAGGGTGTGTGTGTGTGTGGGTACACACACGGTGTGTGGGCTGTGTGTATGTGGGTACACACACGGTGTGTGGGCTGTGTGTGTGTGGGTACACACACGGTGTGTGGGCTGTGTGTGTGTACACACAGGGTGTGTGTGTGTACACACAGCCCACTCACACACACCCTGTGTGTACACACACACACAGCCCACACACCCTGTGTGTACACACACACACCCTGTGTACACACACACCCACCCTGTGTGTACACACACACCCTGTGTGTACGTACACACACCCTGTGTGTGTGTACGCACACACAGAGTGTGTGTGTACGTACACACACCCTGCGTGCCCACACACAGCCCACAAACACACACCCTGTGTGTACACACACACCCCCTGCGTGCCCACACACAGCCCACACACATACACCCTGTGTGTACACATACACACACTCTGTGTGTACACAAACACACCCTATGTGTACACACACACACTGCGTGCCCACACACAGCCCACACACACACACCCGGTGTGTACACACACACACACCCTGCGTGCCCACACACCTCAATGCAGACAACACTTACCTACAATTAAGCCAACCAAAGAAAGCCCGATTTAAATATTGAACAAAACAATATTCGCATCGTTTAAGAACGCGCTGCTAAACAATCCTCCGCTGTGTTCGCCGAGAGCGCCTGTGACTCTGTGAGAGAGAGAGAGTGAGGAGCCTGGCGGCTGTGAGAGAGAGTGAGGAGCCTGGCGGCTGTGAGAGAGAGAGAGTGAGGAGCCTGGCGGCTGTGAGTGAGAGAGAGTGAGGAGCCTGGCGGCTGTGAGTGAGAGAGAGAGAGTGAGGAGCCTGGCGGCTGTGAGAGAGAGAGAGTGAGGAGCCTGGCGCCTGTGACTGTGAGTGAGAGAGTGAGGAGCCTGGCGCCTGTGAGTGAGAGAGAGAGTGAGGAGCCTGGCGGCTGAGAGAGAGTGAGGAGCCTGGCGCCTGTGAGAGAGAGAGAGAGTGAGGAGCCTGGCGGCTGAGTGAGAGAGAGAGAGTGAGGAGCCTGGCGGCTGTGAGAAAGAGAGAGTGAGGAGCCTGGCGGCTGAGTGAGAGAGAGAGAGTGAGGAGCCTGGCGGCTGTGAGAGAGAGAGAGTGAGGAGCCTGGCGGCTGTGAGTGAGAGAGAGTGAGGAGGCTGGCGGGAGTGTGTGAGAGAGAGAGAGTGAGGAGCCTGGCGGCTGTGAGAGAGAGAGAGTGAGGAGCCTGGCGCCTGTGACTGTGAGTGAGAGAGTGAGGAGCCTGGCGCCTGTGAGTGAGAGAGAGAGTGAGGAGCCTGGCGGCTGAGAGAGAGTGAGGAGCCTGGCGCCTGTGAGAGAGAGAGAGAGAGTGAGGAGCCTGGCGGCTGAGTGAGAGAGAGAGAGTGAGGAGCCTGGCGGCTGTGAGAAAGAGAGAGTGAGGAGCCTGGCGGCTGAGTGAGAGAGAGAGAGTGAGGAGCCTGGCGGCTGTGAGAGAGAGAGAGGGAGGAGCCTGGCGGCTGTGAGAGAGAGAGAGTGAGGAGCCTGGCGGCTGTGAGTGAGAGAGAGAGAGGGAGGAGCCTGGCGGCTGTGAGAGAGAGTGAGGAGCCTGGCGCCTGTGACTGTGAGTGAGAGAGTGAGGAGCCTGGCGCCTGTGAGTGAGAGAGAGAGTGAGGAGCCTGGCGGCTGAGAGAGAGTGAGGAGCCTGGCGCCTGTGAGAGAGAGAGAGAGTGAGGAGCCTGGCGGCTGAGTGAGAGAGAGAGAGTGAGGAGCCTGGCGGCTGTGAGAGAGAGAGAGTGAGGAGCCTGGCGGCTGAGTGAGAGAGAGAGAGTGAGGAGCCTGGCGCCTGTGACTGTGAGTGAGAGAGTGAGGAGCCTGGCGGCTGAGAGAGAGAGAGAGTGAGGAGCCTGGCGGCTGTGACTCTGTGAGTGAGAGAGAGAGAGAGTGAGGAGCCTGGCGGCTGTGACTCTGTGAGAGAGAGAGTGAGGAGCCTGGCGGCTGAGTGAGAGAGAGTGAGGAGCCTGGCGGCTGTGAGTGAGAGAGAGTGAGGAGCCTGGCGGCTGTGAGTGAGAGAGTGAGGAGCCTGGCGGCTGTGAGAGAGAGAGAGTGAGGAGCCTGGCGGCTGAGTGAGAGAGAGAGAGAGTGAGGAGGCTGGCGGCTGAGTGAGAGAGAGAGAGTGAGGAGCCTGGCGGCTGTGAGAGAGAGAGAAAGAGTGAGGAGCCTGGCGGCTGAGTGAGAGAGAGAGAGTGAGGAGCCTGGCGCCTGTGACTGTGAGTGAGAGAGTGAGGAGCCTGGCGCCTGTGAGTGAGAGAGAGAGTGAGGAGCCTGGCGGCTGAGAGAGAGAGAGAGTGAGGAGCCTGGCGCCTGTGACTGTGAGTGAGAGAGTGAGGAGCCTGGCGCCTGTGAGTGAGAGAGAGAGGGAGGAGCCTGGCGGCTGAGTGAGAGAGAGAGTGAGGAGCCTGGCGCCTGTGAGAGAGAGAGAGTGAGGAGCCTGGCGGCTGTGACTCTGTGAGTGAGAGAGAGGAGCCTGGCGCCTGTGACGCTGTGAGAGAGAGAGAGAGTGAGGAGCCTGGCGGCTGTGAGAGAGAGAGAGTGAGGAGCCTGGCGGCTGTGAGAAAGAGAGAGTGAGGAGCCTGGCGCCTGTGAGAGAGAGAGAGCGAGGAGCCTGGCGGCTGTGAGAAAGAGAGAGTGAGGAGCCTGGCGGCTGAGTGAGAGAGAGAGAGTGAGGAGCCTGGCGGCTGTGAGTGAGAGAGAGTGAGGAGCCTGGCGGCTGTGAGTGAGAGAGTGAGGAGCCTGGCGGCTGTGAGAGAGAGAGAGTGAGGAGCCTGGCGGCTGAGTGAGAGAGAGAGAGTGAGGAGCCTGGCGCCTGTGACTGTGAGTGAGAGAGTGAGGAGCCTGGCGCCTGTGAGTGAGAGAGAGTGAGGAGCCTGGCGGCTGAGAGAGAGAGAGTGAGGAGCCTGGCGCATGTGACTCTGTGAGTGAGAGAGAGAGTGAGGAGCCTGGCGGCTGTGAGAGAGAGAGAGTGAGGAGCCTGGCGGCTGTGAGAGAGAGAGAGTGAGGAGCCTGGCGCCTGTGACTCTGTGAGTGAGAGAGAGAGTGAGGAGCCTGGCGGCTGTGAGAGAGAGAGAGTGAGGAGCCTGACGCCTGTGAGAGAGAGAGAGTGAGGAGCCTGGCGGCTGTGAGAGAGAGAGAGAGTGAGGAGCCTGGCGCCTGTGACTCTGTGAGTGAGAGAGAGAGTGAGGAGCCTGGCGGCTGTGAGAGAGAGAGAGTGAGGAGCCTGGCGGCTGTGAGAGAGAGAGAGTGAGGAGCCTGGCGGCTGTGAGAGAGAGAGAGTGAGGAGCCTGGCGGCTGTGAGAAAGAGAGAGTGAGGAGCCTGGCGCCTGTGAGAGAGAGAGAGAGTGAGGAGCCTGGCGGCTGTGAGAAAGAGAGAGTGAGGAGCCTGGCGGCTGAGTGAGAGAGAGAGAGTGAGGAGCCTGGCGGCTGTGAGTGAGAGAGAGTGAGGAGCCTGGCGGCTGTGAGTGAGAGAGTGAGGAGCCTGGCGGCTGAGTGAGAGAGAGAGAGTGAGGAGCCTGGCGCCTGTGACTGTGAGTGAGAGAGTGAGGAGCCTGGCGCCTGTGAGTGAGAGAGAGTGAGGAGCCTGGCGGCTGAGAGAGAGAGAGAGTGAGGAGCCTGGCGCATGTGACTCTGTGAGTGAGAGAGAGAGTGAGGAGCCTGGCGGCTGTGAGAGAGAGAGAGTGAGGAGCCTGACGCCTGTGAGAGAGAGAGAATGAGGAGCCTGGCGGCTGTGAGAGAGAGAGAGTGAGGAGCCTGGCGGCTGTGAGAGAGAGAGAGAGTGAGGAGCCTGGCGCCTGTGACTCTGTGAGTGAGAGAGAGAGTGAGGAGCCTGGCGGCTGTGAGAGAGAGAGAGTGAGGAGCCTGGCGCCTGTGAGAGAGAGAGAGTGGCGGCTGCCACGGCACTCCGGCGTAGCGAGGCCGTAACCACAGACGCCGCCTGCGGCACAAAGGTTGCCAGGCGCAGCAGCCCCCCACCCCCCTTGTGAACCTGCTGGGGGGGGGCTGTGATTGAGTTGGGCTGCAAGGGAGGCTTGGGGGAGTGCCCAGCAGCAGCAGCAGCATCAGCTGTGGGGGTTGCTGCTTCTCGCTCCGCCCCCTCGCCGCCGCTGTCGCCGCGAGGGGGCGGAGCGCCGCGGCTCGCGGCAAGGCGGCGACCGCCGCTGTTTTGATGCGAGAGGTGAACGCTGCAGCTGCCACGAGATCCGTGGCAGAACCTCCAGTCGCGAGGCTGAAGAAGCAGCATGAAACTGCTTGCGAATTGTGTGTGTTGCTGTGATTGTGTGTGTGTTAACACTGCTGCTGTGATTGTGTGTGTGTTAACACTGCTACTGTGATTGTGTGTGTGTGTGTTAACACTGCTGTGATTGTGTGTATGTTAACACTGTTGCTGTGATTGTGTGTGTGTAACACTGCTGCTGTGATTGTGTGTGTGTGTTAACACTGTTGCTGTGATTGTGTGTGTGTTAACACTGCTGCTGTGATTGTGTGTGTGTGTTAACACTGCTGCTGTGATTGTGTGTGTGTTAACACTTTTGCTGTGATTGTGTGTGTGTGTTAACACTGCTGCGATTGTGTGTGTTGACACTCCTGCTGTGATTGTGTGTGTGTGTTAACACTCCTGCTGTGATTGTGTGTGTGTTAACACTGCTGTTGTGATTGTGTGTGTGTGTTAACACTGTTGCTATGATTGTGTGTGTGTTAACACTCCTGCTGTGATTGTGTGTGTGTAACACTGCTGTGATTGTGTGTGTGTTAACACTGTTGCTGTGATTGTGTGTGTGTGTGTTAATACTGTTGCTGTGATTGTGTGTGTGTTAACACTGCTACTGTGATTGTGTGTGTGTTAACACTGTTTCTGTGATTGTGTATGTGTGTTAATACTGTTGCTGTGATTGTGTGTGTGTTAACACTGCTGCTGTGATTGTGTGTGTGTTAACACTTTTGCTGTGATTGTGTGTGTGTGTGTTAACACTGCTGCGATTGTGTGTGTTGACACTCCTGCTGTGATTGTGTGTGTGTGTTAACACTCCTGCTGTGATTGTGTGTGTGTGAACACTGTTGCTGTGATTGTGTGTGTGTGTTAACACTCCTGCTGTGATTGTGTGTGTGTTAACACTGTTGTTGTGATTGTGTGTGTGTGTTAACACTGTTGCTATGATTGTGTGTGTGTTAACACTCCTGCTGTGATTGTGTGTGTGTAACACAGCTGTGATTGTGTGGGTGTGTGTGTTAACACTGCTGCTGTGATTGTGTGTGTGTTAACACTCCTGCTGTGATTGTGTGTGTGTGTTAACACTGTTGATGTGATTGTGTGTGTGTTAACACTACTGTTGTGATTGTGTGTGTGTGTCAACACTGTTGTGATTGGGTGTGTGTGTGTTAACACTGTTGCTGTTGACAGACCTAAAGGCCAGCAATAAACAGCACGGTCAAAGTTGTAATAAGTAAAAGTTAATTATAGAATTGAGCAAGGTGGGGGGGGGGGTGTTTTGACTTGCAGTGTTTTATTAACTTTATTTATTTGCATTAACTTTTTATTATACCAGCTAATGTCCACTGAGCTATAGAGCTGTTTTTCAGAAGCGACCTGGAAACAAATGATAGCTCAACGAAGTAGCTTAGCATGTGGAAACGTACAGCAGCCAAATACTCAAAACGCGTGATGTTGATTCTAAATGTGGAGGGAAAAACCGGAGGACCTGGAGAAAAATCCACGCGACCACGGTGAGAGAGACATGCAAACTCAAAATATACAGCAGGCGCCAGGGTCAGGATCGAACCCACAACCTCCTGTATACCAGGCGAGGTTGTTAACATCTTGTCACCATGGCGCTCAGTGTAGATGAGACGAAACAGTGAGTCCCCACCACGGGATGAGAAATCAATTGGTGAAGTTCACGGGACAGTAAGCATGGTTGTAGTGAAAGAAAAAAGGTAGCAACGGATCAGCAGATGAGTGAGTGAATCATTGATGAGTGCTGGATCATCAATCAACTCGATTTCTTTATGTTTGTCTTTCTTTTTTTGTGTATGTGGGGAGCGGTGGTGTAGCATTTAGCACGCTGCACTATGAACCCGGTGACCTGAGTTTGATTCCTGCTCACGGCCAACACTAGTGACGATTATCTCAACCAGTACTGGCCTTCCCGTAGGTCTACTCAGCCTCAAACGAGTATCTGGTGCGGTATGTAATCATTGTTACTCGGGAGACAAAGCAGGTCAGGCGTGGTGTTGGCCACAACCCACCCCCTCCTGTGCCGTGCCGGCCTTCATAGGTGCTCGCTAACAACACTTGCTCCTACAGTCTGTTCAGGCTATGTGGGAGGATCTTTGTTGCATGCGTGAGTATGTGCAAGCCCTGCGATTGAGGGTCACTTGTTTAACCATTAACACCTGGGCGTGTCCTCTGACCTCCTGCCATCCAGCCTTAGACATTTCACGCCTCTAAACGCACCTAGCATAACACAAGTGCCATTCGCCACTCAGTGGCGAATGGCACTTGTTGTTGTATTAGTTGCCCCGTGTATGCGCATACGAGCACTGTCGCCCTTTGGGCCCGTTCGTGTTTGCGTGGTTTTAATTCGGTGTGTGTGACTCGTGCGTCCATGGCCACTATTCTGAGGAAGGCAAATGCAAGATCTGTAAGGCGATGTATGTGGGATGTGTGTGTGTCTCAGTCATAAATGAGCACCTGGTGCGGTGTGTAGTAAAAATCGCCACTTGCACAGTCAAATGTTTCCGGGAGTGGTGCTGGCCACCCACCCCCCTCGTGTTCCACAGTGCCTACCTTCACAGGTGGTGCTACTCGCTAGCAGCACTTGCCCCTACAGTCTGTTAATGCTATACGGGGGGATCTTTGTATTTATGTTATTCAACGTGTGAGCGTGTGAGTGAGTGAGCCCACCATGTACGCCTGGTCCAGCGCTTGCTTCCTGTAGTCGAGCTCCTCCTCCAGGTACCGCTTCTGCTTCACAAACATCTCCTGAGGAACAACGATGACGACGATGAGGTGGATCTGGAGTGTTGCGCACTTTTCCAACGAAAACTGTGCGCTGCATTGCACGACCATGTCGCGTGGAACGTGATGTCGACACACTCTGGCACGAACGGTCATAGTCATAAAATCGGCATCAGGGCCCTGATGACGCGGCCAAGATCTCGGAGCTTTCCTTCCTTGGAACTCCTGGACCCTCCGAACCCTCGCTGAAACCCCCAATCACTGCCAACCGATACAAATGTGTGGACCACCGTGCAGTAAAACCATATGGTGTTTTGTGAAAACAAGTGTAATCTGCAACATTCTGCAACAGTTCTGCAGGCCACTTCTCACACTGTCCGCGGACCACAGGTTTGGAACCACTGCTCTAAATCCAACTCCCCAGTGTTTACTGACCAGGTAAAGCCCACTGAGCTATTAGCTCTATTTAAGAGGTGACCTGGCCACGCATGATAGCTCATTGAAGTAATTTATAGTAGCAGCCAAATCATCTAAATGCATGTTTCTAAATGTCGAGGGCAAAACCGGAGGAACCCGGATAACAATCCACGCTTCCATGGGGAGTTGAAAACACGCAAACTCCAAACATAGAGGCATCGTCTATGCGGGGGTTCATTTCATTGAACAGGTGCTCATCATTAGACCTCCTTTGACAGTACCAAAATATAATAATAGGGGTTTTCCCTTTTATCTGGCAACAAAAATGAAACCTTTTTACAAGGAATCATGTGTGCAATTAACCACAATACTTGTGTAGATGCTTACCCCGAGCCCTCATTACTTTGATAGTGCATTGTCTTTGAGCTGTACGCCTTTTGGCGTCCTCTGGTCTAGCACCAATTGAGACGAGGCTCAAAAGAAAGCCGTCTCTGGTGTGGACCAATCGGTTTCAAGGACAATGCATATATTATCAGTATTGTGGTTAATGCACACATGATTCCTAGTAAAAAGGTTTCAGTTTTGTTGCCAGAAAAAAAGGGGAAAACCCTATTATTATAACAGGTGCTCATGTTTCTTTGTTTTTAATTCCCAGTGTTCGACCCGCAGAGCTTGCGACTCTCACCTTCTCATTCTCCAGATCAATCATTTTCTGCTGCAGTGCAATCTCAGTCCCCTCGATCTGGTGCAGCCACTGTGGGAGATGTGGGAGTGAGTGATAAACTCAGGCAAGGGAGCCTCACGCGTGCAAGTCAAACAAGAGTGCTCTTGCAGTACTGTGCTGTGTGTGTGTGTCACGATGTACTGTGCCATGCTCTGCGTGCTGTGTCAGGGCAACGCCACCTTGTCGGCAAGAGAGAGCACCGTGCGTGCTTGAATCACAGCCACCTGCTCATCGTTTCTCAGGTTCTACACCGACACAAATGTTCAAGAAGCAGTCGCTCTTATTATAAACAACAACACCAACACCGCATCATTATTTGTTTACTGTCGCTACTGTTATAGCTGTGGGTACAACGATGCCGACTCACAGCGTTGTCGCCCAGCAAGTCCAACTTTTTCATCAGCTCATGAATGGACACTTCCTGCACACACACACACGGTCACTGTCAATTCTAGTACGACGCTGCACCCACGTATGCAGCACGAGGTCTCCACGCAGAGCTCCGTGCTTACCATGGCTGCCTCGCGAGCACAGTACCACTGCAGAGGACTGTCCCCTTCGCGGAACGGGGGAAGGAGGAGGCTGAGTCCTGGGGACCGGCGCTCCCGCTCCTGCTCTCCCGCACGCACACACGGGCGCACACGGATGTCTCTCATGCTGTTGCCCAAGACCCTGGGCGCCTCGTGTCAGTGTGCTACTCCACTCTGGGGAGAGTGGGGCAGTGCAAGGCAGCGGTGTGGCCCAGCAGATCCCACCCACCTAGCGACGAGATTCAGACGAGTGTCAATGTCAACGGCCTGAACCTTACCACCCTCACTTTCATGGCCTCCACTTTACTTGTTCAACTACTTTCCATAAAAATAAAAAAAGAACTGCACGATTCCTAGGTTGCACGCGTTTGATTTTGAATATATCGGGAGGTTCGAAAGGGAGCGTGGCATCCTATCTGTCCCGTTCTATGATCCCGTAGCCTCGGCGATTAAACTCTCCTGAGCGGAAGGCACTTTCTGGTAGTCATCAGAGCTATGAAACAACCCCTTAGCTTCCAGAGGTAGAATTCCCACTGTAGATATCGAAACCTTCCTTCAGCAGCGCTGGGTTTAATCAATGAGACGTCACTCAGTGCCACGAACTACCCCTTCCACCTAACGAGACATTGCCCGTGTGCATGTATCCAGGTGTACCACCTCCAACTCGAGTATGCGGAACTCCATGAGCTCGTTCTGGTCCTGCAGGTCCTGGACCTCCTGCTTCAGGGAGTTCTCGTCGTTTTCAAGCTCATGGAGCTGCAAAAAGAAGGGGTTGCAGGGAGTGTGGGCGGCGGGGGAAAGGAGGGGGTGGGGGGACACGAGTTTGGACCCGGTCACGATGCCGCCCCCCCACGTGCCCATACGTGTCTGCGTGTGCGGCCGTCAAACCTTCTGCAGAAGCTCCTGATTCCGCCTGCACAATTGCTGCTTCTCCTCGACCCAGGTCGCATCCTGCACACGCGCATGCACACGTGCGCAGATGTGTGCAGCACACACAAGTTCTTGCAGCAAAATACACACGCTGGCAACAAATGTAGTCATGAGAACAAATGTAGCCAAAAGAAGTATATGCAGCATTCAAAGCATGTGCAGCATGTCGGTGAACAAGGAGAGGTGTCAGTGTGTGTGTCGGTGAGAAGGAAACTGTGTCAGTGTCAGTAATGAGGTCGGTGTTGTCAGTATGTATGAGTATGTGTGAGAAAGTGGGGGTGTCGGTGTGCGTGTCAGTAGGGAGGGAACCCCAAGGACATACTGTGCTGCCGTCAGCCTGAGTCACCTGGCCTCTCTGGGACAGGGCCCTCTCCAGATCCTCTACTCGTGCCTGGTACTTCAGCAAGTCGGCCTGCAGCTGCTCCCGTGTCTGCACGAGGGTACGCGCACGCACACACACAAACCAAAGCATCTCCAAAAATCCGGTGGAGACATTTAACAAACAAAAAAATGAGTTCATGGGGGGCAGTGACGCAGACCAGTGGTAGCGCATACGCATCTTGTTGTGGTTCGTGTCCAGTGGCCGCCCTGGCTAACACTGCGGCTGTATTACCCATGAAGTACACGCCAACACTTCACAGCGGACTCTCCAGATCTGGTGAGGTCATTCTAAAAAGAAGAGGCTGTGGCTGGCGTCAAGTTCAAATTTTTAGACAAATTTAAAAATTACACTGCAATTTAGTTAATTGAGAAGAACATAGCAGTTGTTACCCCCTACTGGGAAAACTTAGCAGGACATGAAAAGAGTCTTGAGACTTGGTGTGGTGAATCCTTCGCCACCACAGCATTGTCACGATTCAAGGTGAAAACTGAAGAATCTCTTCATATTTGACCTTGTGGTGAATGTAAGGCACCTCTAGCAGCTGCAGAGGTCACATGACACATGATGTACAACTTATGACTGAAGACACAGTGATTCTTCAACAAGCGATTTCGTGCAAGTGTAGTGACAGCGCTGACTGCTGTACAGCAGCTGCAACTGCAGTTGGACACTTAGCTCACATGCCGTTGAGCATATATAGGGGTGTGCCAGCAGGGCGGAGGAACTGGGGCAAGGGTCATGGTAGACCTCATAAGGAGGCCCCTGTAACCCTCTGGTGGGTTCAAGAAGGGAGGCGCAGCTTGGCTCCGCCCTAGGGAATAAAAGCAGTAGAGGGCGAGAGCTCCGGGCTGCCGGTTAAGGGAGTGGACTCGTCTCGTCGTCGCCGTCATCGTCGCCGCCTTCGTCGCTGCCCCCTTCGCCCGATCATTGCGCCGCCGGACAGTAGTTGGCTGTCTCAGTCGACGCCGTCGGTGCAACGCAGACAGGGTCGTGTCTGGGCCGGGCTGTACGGCAGCGTAGTCATGAGAAAGGGGATCGGAGTTGGTGATGTGAACCTAATAAAAGAAAGTCGGTGCCTCCTGCGACTACCACGTCTCCAACTGAGTGTGTGTGCCGCATGCCACCCGCCCACACACGCCTCGAGGGAGAGAAGAAGAGACCTACGACACTACACAAGTATCCTGACTATACATATTGACATTGAAGAATGAATGCATTGTTACACCCAATGATATACCCACCGCCACCACCATAGTAAACCTACCACCACCACCATGGTAATCCCACCACCAATCATGGTGAACCTACAACCACCACCACGCACACCGAGTCAGTTGCAGACGCCCAGGCACTTACGAGCGTGTCCCTCTCGGCGTCCAGGCCACCCCCCAGCTGCTCGTGCAGGAGCGAGTAGGCCCTCTGCAGCGCCTGGTACTCGTGCATGAGGTGGCGGAACCGCAGCTCCGTCTCTTCACGTGCCATGCTCTGTGCATCGCACACATGCCCATAACCACACGACGTGGGTCAACTGTAGCCGTAACACTCGCGCGCATAGCGCACCCACACCCAAATTCATACGGCTCGCATGCAGAGAACACCAGCGCTGCGTATCAACCCCCCACCCCACCTCTACCCACCGTGTAAGGAAATACAGCACAGCAAACGGTGATGTGCTGCCGAATAATGCAATGGTTAATGGAACCAAGCGAGATCCCACTCAGTCTCTCTCATTAGGAGTGAGAGTAGCGTTATCTGGTATCATGGAATCATGAAGCCTGGTGTAATAATGGCACCCCGTGTTAGTGCTAGGTTGATTGTGCCATCGCAGAATCGTGGGAGGGAGACGGTGGCTTTAGGAGGCATTCATCTAGCAGTGGATTGACCACGGCTGCTGATGATGATGAGCTCTGGGTGAGAGTGTGGGGTCACACGTGCCGGTTGCTCTGGAGCTCGCTGCTCGTCCATGTCAGTGTCGGGCGTGCCCGGTGTGCCAGCCGTGCGGTCGGTGGCATAGGAGGAGGAGTCGGAGTCCAGGGACATCTCCCGCTCCACCCCCACCAACTTCTGAGTCAGGATCCTCTGCAGACACGTGACACGGGTTCTCCGATGAGCCCTCTTGTGTTGTCATCGGAAGACCAAGTTATTCCTTGCTCAAATAAGCATTGAGGCAAGTACAGCCTTGAGCCAGTGGTGGGAATGCTACAAGCACGTGACACGGAGAAAGTCTATCCATGGGACAACTGCTGTTGAATTACCTACAACGTGTAAATAATAATTTACATTTCCTCTTGAACCTGCTACAACGAGATGCCGCTTAGGCCCACGGGCACTATTGAGGCCCCACCTTGCTGCTCCGAGAGCTGCGCCTCTTCTGCTTGCGCTGCCAGCGGATGATGTCCAGCTCCTGTGGGAAACAGGGACGCACGGGCAGCCACGTTGGAAGACTGCCCAAAGCGAACATTGATTGAATGCCGGGCGTTGTGCAAGGTACTCACCATCGCGTTGCGGTCATAGGCCGCAGACTGCAGAGCCTGCCAGGAGAGACAGGGAGGAAAGGTTACTGTACAGAATACGTGCTCTGGAACTTTGACCTGACGGGGATGCTGCGTTCATACTGGTGTGCACGGGAAGTGGCTCTGGGGCATTGGTGGAGCGTGCCTTGGTGAGGTCGTCGATGATGTTCTGCTGCTCGGCAACCTGCAGCCTGAGGAACTCTATCTCATTTTCGTCGGCCTCGTCCCCCTCCTCCATTTCTTCGTGGCCACTCGGGGGACCGCAAGCGACGCACGCCGTCTGGCTCGCCGTCTTTGGAGCAAAGCACGAACAGACATCGATTGCGGAGAATGGCGCCAAACACCAACCAACCGTCACGGCTCCACACCCCACGTCGCCGAGATGAGCGACTGATTTAAATACAAGTTTTCTCAGAAGCTTGCAGTCCCAAGTGCGGTTTCCTGGTTGGACGACTGCGTGTTGAGCATTCCCTCACTCAAGCTTTTGCCACACACTAAATTACTGCGGACATCCAACTCCTGAAGATGCCCGCAGCAGCATGTGGCAAAAGCTTGAGAGCCCGACCAGAAAACCGCACTTTTAATGGGTGACTGATGTCACCTAGCTTAATGGAGGTGGTGGTGGAGGCAGCATGTGGCGAACCGTGGGCCTTGGGACAGTTGCACCGTGTAGGTATGGGACTGCTTGTGTGGGCTGCGTCACCGTGTGGCTGCCGGTCGTTTCGCTGCCTTGGTTGCTGGCGCCAGATCTCTGCTGCGCGGTCTGCTGCTGGGTTGCCATGGCGGCATGAGCTAGCTGTGCCGCTGCCGACTGCACACTGACCTTCTCCTTCTGCAGCCACAGCCCAATGAGCCCGACCGCGACACGCACACACACACAGCCACGTATATAAGCAAATTTTTATATATATTCGCCATAATAAAAAAATATATATCAACAATATATTACAACACGAAAAGAACTTCGTCATTTCCTTTCCCTGCTCGATGAAAGCTTCCCTAGTCCACCACCATGCCTCACGGTCTTGATTTTAGTGTTAAGTTTGTTGTCCTTACCCCGCATTTCCGATTATCATGGTTGGCTACGTACGGCGCGTATGTAGCCAACCAGTTCAACACACGTAACAATCCAACTAACCCCTGCATTTGAGATGATTTCATCACCCCATCTCGACAGTGGATGTCATCAGTTGCACTCGAGTGCCCGGCATGCCGCCATTAGTCTCGACCACCGGCCAATGTCCCTAACCCCGAACATTAAAATATATATAAATATATATAATTCGAAGAAAAATCGCAAAATGAGAGTTAGCCAGGACAAAAAAAACTTTGAAAATGTGAGATCAGGGTGTGAGGTCGTTATGAAGTCAGGGTAGAGTCACACGTGGAGCTGGGGGTCAGCGAAGATGAGGGAGGGTCGAGGGCGGCACTAACCAGCTCGAGGTTTTCCCGCGAGAGGCCACGCACCCTCTCCTCCTGCCGCTGCTGGGCGGCTACCAAGTCATCGCACTTCTTGGCAAGGCGCCGGTTTTTGTCCAGTAGCGGCTTCAGTTGGGCCTCTGTCTCCCGAACACGCTTAAGCTGCAGGTAAAGCACCACAGCATTGCAATGGAGCAGATGGACTGCGCCCCATGTTTACAAAAGGAGGTGCCAATTACAGACAAAACAGATTTGGGAAGTGGGCATATTGTTTGCTTATTTATTTAGTTTGTTCCACAAAGTCCGTGTGTATCTGCGTCTACGGGAGGGTACAAGGATGCTCATGGGTGCGCGTTTGTGCGTTATGCACCAGCTCATTCCTTTCGTCAGCCAGGAGCGCGTTGCGGTCTTCCAGCTTGCGGACCACCCCGTGCAGCTCACCGATCCTCAGCTGGAACCGCCGCACATCTCGCTCCTCCAGGTGCCCCTCCTTGAGTGAACACAAAATCGAACATCCATTACACTTAACATCAGCCACATACGTGGTCAACAATATCGTCCTCACAATTACTTTGTGTTAAAGCTTGACTTAAAGCTTTCGTGACTGCAGGAATTAATATTATTTGGGTCTTTCGGTCAAGTCACGTAGATAGGGTCAAAGAAAATGACAAAAACTACGACTTTTCGATTGCAACACAAGCGGTTGTCTTCAGGAAAAGGGGGGGGGGGGTTAGCTTCCAAAGGCAAACTATTTATAAGGGTTTGAAATGGGCGTAGCCCAAATGTCAGCAGCCAATGATAATGTAAGTGGTGGGCTGCCAACCCGACGGTGGTTGGTTTTCTTTCTACGTGACTTTACCGAAAGAACCCAAGAGTAATTCCTGCAGTCACGAAAGCTTCAAATCAAGTTTGAATACTTTGTGTTGTGTAGCGTATGGTTTTGCATAAAACTAGGACCCATTTCAAGCACAGAAATGGGTCCTGGTATATAAACATCTGGCATATAAACATCTGGCATAAAAACATCTGGGCATTTCATCAGAATTAATTTAAGCAAGCCCAACAATGATGATAAAACACCGATTGTCGAACTGATCCAGAGTTCGCTTGCATTAAATCCATGCTGCTGAAAAAAAACACTTCCAAAAAGGCTGTATTGCCCAATAAGATATGTAAGAAAAACTACTTTCATTATTTATATAAAAACAATGGGAAGGAGGAATATCGTCCGCTTATTTAAACAGTTAACGTGTAATGTACACACCTACGGGGCAAAATCCACATCCACTAAAAAAGTGCTTCAACCTTTTTCATTCTTATTTTTTATTTAGATTCATACTCTTTGGTTCTTTCGGTAAAGTCACGTAGATATAAAATAAATTAAATCACAACGTTTCGGGCGCAACACAAGCATCCGTCATCAGGTAGGACAACCACAGCAAGAAACAATTGCTGAAGTGGGCAAAAGGGCTGCTGTGACAAGAGGCTATATAGGTAAGAGAGGGGGTGAGGAGCCAGGGAGGAGAGATAGAGAGGGGGGCGTGGGGTAGGGGGAGTGGAGCACTGCTAGAGGGATTAAATCTAGATTTATTTAGATTATTCAGATTAATTTGTGCAATAAATGTTCAAATGATAAGACACTTTGATGAGCTATCATTTTTTACCAGGTTGCTTCTTAAAAATAAGTTAATACCTCGGTCGGCTTTGCCTAGTAGGATGGGATGGTTTAGTTGTATTTGTATGAGTTGAGTGGTTTGTTTACCTTTCAAGTACATTGCGCTACATCGTGTATTTGTATTGTTTTTTTGTTGTAATGTTCTTACTTGTCCCGACTAGACTTCTGTGAAAAAGAGCATTATAGTTCATCGGATTCCCCCAGTATAAATAAATATTCTGATTCCATGGCACTTTCCAGTTTACTCGATCTTCACGGCACGCCAAGCTAACAAATCCCTGTGGGCTCTGGTGGGTGGAAATGCATTGTAGCCGAGAGAGAATGCATGATACCTTGCTTATACCGATCAAGAACAAGGACGTAAAGTCGCGTTGTCAAACTCCGTGACAAGAATTTACCTAAATGCGTGTAATCATGTCTCCGAGTGTCTCCATGTCTATAAGCGTATTCGTGTCCGTATGTATCTGTCTCTACGCGTGTCTCTATGTTTCTGTGTCTATATTTCGGTGTGTGTGTCCGTATCACTGTGTCTCCGTTTCTGTGTCGCCATGTCTGTATATGTCTCTGTGTCTCCGTGTGTCAGTGTATTCATGCTTTTGTGCAAGTCTGTCTCTATATGTGTTTCCGTGTCTGTGTCTCGGTGTCTATGTGTCTCCGTATCTTTGTGCATTGTTTCTGCATGTGTCTCCGTGTCTGTTTGCCCATCAGCACATGCACAATCGGCGGAGTTGAGAGGGCCGGGGATGGGGGCTAACGGCTGTTTTCTGGACTGTGTGCCGCGATGAATGAAGAGGGGAGGGGCGGCGGAGGTGGGTGGTGGGGGGCTTGAGGTTCTGTTGTTTCCGATAAGTCTGAAAATGCCGCAGCACACCTGGGGGACTTTGCTGGTTTGCGAAAGCACTGCACTAAAATACTGAGTGTAAGGGGTTCTCCGAGACCAGGTCTGGTGTGCGATCCATGCAGTCACCCCCGGCGCCCCCTGTGACCCCGCCGCTGTTCGCTACAGCGGCTGGTATCTCTCGTTTGGGGCTGCCAGCATTGCGACGTTCGCTGGCCTCGTCCAGCGCTTCTCTCTGCAGTGCAAGCCGCTGGGCATAGCCAGCCTGTGCCCCAAGCTCACGCTCCAGCGATAGCACCGAGCGCTCACGAGACTTCAACTCGTCCATCTGGGGGGAGGGGACACCCGAGGCAGAGAGGTGTACGACCACAATGGCAGCTGGTGAGCAATCAAAGTCATCGAATAAATTATTGTCAGTGCAGTAGTTCAAATACAACACTTCCTGTCATGGTGAGAAGCTCTATCACAACAGCAAAGTGCATGCAGGCTGAACAAAACCAATAGATTTAACAACGTGAAAAGGTGTGACTCTAAACAGTTTGGCAAAGCCGAATTTGTGTTCATATTTTTATTGAGGCCACCAACTGATAAAGAGTTGAAATTTTGGCCGCCCCAACATATCTAGCGGCCACACAGTCAGGTCTGTGGAGTTTGTGGCTCAGACATGGCTGAGAGCATTGTGCACGCCGTTTGGTGGTCACACGTGATGGGGAGTCATATCGTCCTGCTGACTGTGAGCAGCAGTCAGCAGTGTTGTTAAATCTGCCAGTGCAGTCCGGTGAAACGGTCTCTTCGGTGCGGTAGTATGGCGAGAGGATAGTGTGGTGCATCGGGATTTGTAAGTAAAGGGAGTGAAGGCAGACCAGTCGCCGAATGTCTCGCTCGCTGTCCCGCTTGATACGGGTGACCTCCTCCTGGTGCGCGTGGTGCGATGTCCGCAGATCGGCCGCCTTTTGCTTGTCGGCTGTTACCGTGTGCGTCAACATCTCCTCCACCTGAATGAGGGAAAATTCACAGCCAGTGTGGTTGAGAAACCAGGAACTGCCGGTCGTCTTGCCGGCCCGGATACTCCTCTCCTGGCTCGGACACGTGCGTCACAACCCCGACCTGTTTTTTGGCGGCCTTGAGCGTCTCCAGGTCGTGCAGCAGCCGCGCTCGCTCGCCCTCCCAGGCCCGCCGCGCGTCCTCCCTCGCTTCGGCCTGCAGGGCAGCCTTCACCTTGTCCTGGGCCCCATCGCGGAGGGTCACCAGGGCCCCTTGCAACCGGTGGATCTCGCCATCTTTCATCTTAATCACGCGCACCAGCTCCATCTCGTGCGTCCGGATGAGAGACTCGCGCACAGCCTGCCATGGCATTCATGCGTCACACGCACGCACGTTCAGGTACATTCTGAACGCATATGTGCACCCCGGTATTACCGCTATAACAGCCCCCGTAACATCCTTGGAGATGTTGTAAGGCAAAAACTGCCGCATGCACAGCGTGGGACATGTGTTTAACACGTAGGCTTTCGCAACCAGTATTATTCATAATAAAGGTTTTTGGGTTAGATCGCGTTATTTATAAATGTGTTGAAGAGTGGATACACAACATTTACAATTTGAGTAGTAGGACGTTAAGCTGGAAATTACATGCGGCATCTTCAGGCGATTTGCCAGAACAGTGAAGCTGCTTCCGGTCTTAAATAGTGCAGGATGATGTCATCATTGTTCCCCATCAGGATTCGAGATCAGAGGCAGAGGTGGAGGTGTATGCAATTATGTAATAGATCAGTAATCAGCCACTTACCATGACTCACCTGTAAGGCCGCACTACTGTAGTGATGTCCCGATCAGATGATGATCATAAAATTAAAGATTTACTGGAGGAAGATACCTATATTAAAATTAAACGAGATCCAACCAATACTTTAGAACGCAAGACTTCTGCAATCATTGCAAATTCATTAATCCCCAAGATTGAGCAATGCCAAATTAAGCCACGGGCCTCAAAACCACCAAGTATGTATGGGCTAGCAAAAATTCATGAAATCGGTATCCCATTACGACCCATAGTAAGTACAATAGACTCTGCCACATATATTAGCAAAATTCAGAACATCTTGTGAATGTGATTAAAGATATTATACTTAACCCTAATGATATTCTGGTAAGTTTTGATGTAATGTATATGTTCACTAAGGTTCCAGTTAACGAGTCACTTAAATTACTTGATACACTGGTAAAGAAGACATGTTTACCAGAAGATATTCCAAAATTGGCCAACCATTGTCTAAATAACACTTATTTCTTGTGGAGAGGTGACCTCTTTAAAGAAAAGGAAGGAGCAGCAATGGGCTCTCCTTTGTCTCCTGCTATAGAAAATATGTACATGGAAAACTTTGAAACAAGAGCACTTGCCTCAAGTACATTAAAACCATATTTTTGGTTTAGATATGTCTATGACACTTTGGTTGTCTGGCCACATGGTAAAGGTACACTACTGAATTTTTTAATCATCTCAATGTACTCTTTGTTTTTTTCGGTAAAGTCACGTAGGTCAAAAATAAAATAAAATAAATGAAGACAACTAAATTAAATCACGACGTTTCGGGCGCAACACAAGTGTCCTTCTTCAGGTGTGTGGACACTTGTGTTGTGCCCGAAACGTCGTGATTTAATTTAGTTGTTTTCATTTATTTTATTTTATTTTTTACCTACATGACTTTGCTGAAAAAACCAAAAAGTATGAATCCTTGCAGTCACGAAAGCTTCAAATCTAGAATTAATCTCAATGTACAAAACCCAGCAATTCAGTTCACCATGGAAATGGTGATGAACAACACACTGCCCTTCCTGGATATTTTGCTTGGACGAGGTCAAAATGGCAAAATAACACATAGCGTCTACTGAAAGGGAATGCACATGGATGCTTATCTGAATGCAGATTCGCATCATCACCCAGCACAGAAATCCTCTCTCATCAAGACGCTCATAGATCGGGCAAAGACAGTGTCAGATGGTGAACGTTTAAGGAAAGAGATTAAACATGTTAAAGAAGCACTAAGAATGAATGGCTATAATCATGCTCAAATTAACAGAGCATTGAATGCCAAATCAAGATCGAACAACAATACTGCTGAAAGTGATCAGATTATCAAAACAATTAAAATACCATATATCTCGGAAGTTACTGACAAATTAGCCCGTGTTTTGCAAAAGCAAAACATTAAAGTGAGATTTGGTACGGTAAACAAAATTCAAAAACTAGTGTCTTGTACTCAAGATGAATTACCGAAGTTATCGACAGAAGGTCTATATCGGATCAATTGTTTATGGACAGACGGGATGTAACATTAGCGTAAGACTAAAAGAACACAAAAGGAACATCAAATTCTCCCAAACACAGCTGTCAGCAGTGACAAAGCATGCTTGCCAACAAGGACATTCAATTGATTTTGATAACGTTGAAGTGTGATGCAGAACTAATTATTACTGGCCAAGATTAGTTAGAGAATCAATAGAAATTGAGAATAATTCAAATAATTTCAATCTCTGTGATAGCTATAGACTCAGCGCAGCCTGTAAGCGTATTAATAAGTAATACACAACACATTGCAATTCCTTACAGGTGAGTCACATGCTAAGTGGCTGATTACTGATGTATTACATAATTGCATACACCCCCACCTCCGCCTCTGATTTCGAATCCTGATGGAGTTCAATAATGATGACGTCATCCTGCACTATTTCAGACCGGAAGTAGGTGGATGACTTCACTATTCTGGCAAATCGCTCGAAGATGCTGGATGTAATTTCCAGCGAAACGCGTTCCTGAACCGGTTCTCCCTGATACACTGCTGCGGCTCGTCGGGTCCCGTGGGTTCTCCAGCCACCCCGGGGTGTGCGAGGGCCCCAGACCGGGTGGTCTGGGGTGGCCTTGCTGCCGGAGGGTGGGTGAGCCACGGGTGCAGTGGGAGGAGTGACCCAGCTGCAGCGAGCACGTGGAGATGGAGACGGAGACGCGGCGCACGGCGCAGCCTGAGGAAGACGCCCGGGGCGCTGCGAGAGACCGTAGGAGCGGGGCGGGCCCGTCTGGTGCGGGGGTGATGTCGGGTGAGGCGCAACAAGGGAAGAGAGGGGGGGGGTGGAGGGGTTGGAGAGCGCGGGGAGGGAGGAGCGGGGAGGAGAACGAGGGGGAGCGCCGGGAGGAGGGGGTAGGAGTACCCCCGATCGGAGGGGGGAGGAAGGGGCAGGAGAGGCGCCCGCAGCCCAGGGGCCGGGAGGGGGGCAGTGGAGGGAGAAGACGGCGGGGGTTGGCCCGGTGGGTGCGGGGAGGCCCGGCGGGGGAGCGGGGAGGTGGCGCGGTGGAGCTGGGGCGGGCCTGACCCCGTTGCAGGCCAAGAGGCACAACTGCGTGCGGGTCGAGTTTAAGGAAGATGTGGAAGAGGGGGTCACCCTGGACAGGACGACCTTCGTGAGGTCGGTAGTGCTGGGAATGCTGCAGGTGGAGGTGGAGGACTTGTACTGCCTGATTGCCCTGCCGGGGGGGAGGGCATTCGAGGTGAGCTTCATCACCAACATCCTGCTGCAAAAATTCCTTCCCCGTTTCGAGGAGAAGGCGGGGGAGAAGCCGCTGGCGTCTATGAGGACGCGGTTGCTATCGGACCTGGAGACGAAGGTCGTGACCGTGTTCCTTTATAATGAAGCGTTGCATGATCAGGACGTGGAGGTGTGGCTGCGGCAGCACTGTGTGGTCCTGTCGGGCTGCAAGAGGGTGCTGGATGCGGCGGGGATATGGACGGGGGCCAGGCAGTGGAGGGTGCGTCTGAAGACGGAGGAGGGGGCACTGAAGCATGTCCCGAGTGCTCTGAACATCGGCGGAAACAGGGGCTACGTGGTGTACGCGGGACAGCCCAAGCTGTGCAGGAGGTGTGGGGGGGGCACCTGGCGGCAGCGTGCGTGGCGCGCGTTTGCTACAGGTGCAGGGCGCTGGACCACACGGTGGAGGAGTGCGGGGAGCCTGCCCTTTGCAACCTGTGCGGCAGCAGAGGGCATTTGTACAGGACCTGCCCAGAATCCTACGCTAACAGGGTGCGGGCATGGCGGAGTGGCCAGGTGGAGGAGGCGACGGAGGCTGCCGGACGGGAAGCGGGCCGGGAGCGTGAAGGGGAAGGGAAAGGGGAGGTGGAGGAACCGCGGCCCCCCGAGGAGGGTGAGGGAGGGGGATCGGCGGGGGAGGGAGCACCACCATCACTGGAGGGGGCGGAGGAGGGAAGGGGAGACAGCATGGAGGACTCGGGAACGCCGCTGGGGAACTGGTCGGAGGTGACGGGCGAGGAGGGCGAGGTGGGGCAGTGGGTGTAGGAAGAGGCGGAGGAAGCATGGGAGGAAGTGGGGGGGGAGGAAAAGGAAGCGGGACAGAGTCCTGATAGGAGCTGGTCCCCAGGAAGACACGAGCCCTTCAGGATCCGCGCCGGACTCGGGGGAGTCGGGGTGGAGGTGGGGGGAAGGGGGGGAACGTTTGATCCGGGGAAAGCCCCGTAAATCAAAGGGGAGGAAAACGGTTAAGGGGAAGGCGGGCAAAGGCAGGAGGAGGGAGCGCGCGCCGGAGTCCGACACGGGATAAATCACGCCCCGGCATGGACATATCCGCAGCATCGGTCAATGTGAGAGGGATGAAGGGGAAGGGAAGGAGGGGGGCAATCATGCAGTGGCTGCAGCTCACCAGACGCGATGTAATCTTCCTCCAGGAATGTCACCTCCCCTACACCCTAGGGTCGGAGGCTCTGCTGGACGGATGGAAGGGACAGTACTTTTGGTCCGGCAGCAACGAGAGCAGGTGCACAGGTGTGGTCACCCTCCTAGGAAGACGGAGAATGAGTGTAGAAGGGACCCAGGTAATAATACCGGGTCGGCTTCTCTGTCTAGACGCTACTTACCAGGGCGTGCAGCTTCGGCTGATAAACGTGTACGCCCCGGTACGGTGCATGGAAAGGAAGGAGGTGTGGGAGAGCCTGGCGGGCCTACTGGCCACCAGGAGGCAGGTCATCGTGGGGGGCGATTTTAATTGCCCGTTAGGCCTGGCGGACCTGGTGTCGGTGAAGGGGAGGAGGAAGTTAGATTCCTCTTCCAGGTGTAGTGACATAAGAAGGGAGGGGCTGCTGGGGGCTCTGGGATCCCAGGCGAGTCCAGACGCTTAAGCCTCTGGGCGCCAGGCGCTGGGTTCCCAGGGGGTCCAGACGCTTAAGCCTCTGGGCGCCAGGCGTTGAGTTCCCAGGCGCTTAATCCCCTGGGCGCCGCCAACGGGGGGGGGGGGGGGGCTGTGTGTGCTCTGTGGGATGTCTGGTGGCGCACACGGCCCC